TAAGGGCTGGCTTTTTTGTTACGTTTTGGAAAGGCACTGCTGGTCAGTACTGGGGCTGGAGGATGCTCATTCTCGTCCAGCTCCTTCCAGCACTCATCTTTGCCGCAATGCTGCCATATATACCAGAAACGTGAGCTGCGTCGGTTCGATTCGCGCGAGAAGAACTATCACTAACGGACCAGCCAGACCTAGATGGCTCCTTCAAACTGGTGACATGGAAAAGGCGAGCAAAGTCCTCCACTGGCTGCGCGAGGATGTTGACGAGCCAGCAGACATTGCGCATGAGCTGCATGCCATCAACCGTGACATTGAGGCTTACCGCCAGGGCCAAGATTCCTTCTTTGCCAAGTCTCTCGCGCTGTTCCGAGAGAAGCCCCTGTTTGCTCGGATGTGGCGCGCGTTTCTTCTGCAGTTCATGGCGCAAATGTGTGGTGCCACAGCCATCAAGTACTATCTTCCCACTCTACTAAAGGCTCTGGGGCTGGGTACACGCCTCGCGCTCATGGCGGGCGCCGTAGAAATGACGGCAAAGATTGGCCTCACTGTCGTTGAGATGTGGATCATTGATCGATTTGGAAGAAAAGCGTGTCTTGCCGGTGGAAGCGTTGTCATGGCTGTCGCTATGCTGGTGAGTAGCAGAAGATGGGGTGCTTCTCCTCGAGCCAATATGGCCCTAACAAATTGAACCAGATCAATGGCGCACTGCCACAAATATTCCCGAAAAATGTTAGCACTGTGGCAGATGCCATCTGCATCGCCTTCATCTTTGTATACGCGATGGGCTACAGCCTTGGACTTGGACCGGCGGCGTGGGTGTATAGCTCGGAAGTGCGCAATAACCTCGACGCTGGAATTCCAGTGACTGACTGACGCTAACTTGGTATGCTAGATCTTTCCAACAACGTATCGTGCCCGCGGACTGAATTTCGCTGCGTCTGGTGGCTCCATCGGCAGCATCATTGTTGCCCAGATCTGGCCCATGGGCGTGGCCAAATTTGGCAGCGGAATCTACTTTTTCTTCTTCGCCGTCAATGCCATTTGCGTACCGGTTTGTGATTTCCGCTAATGTCTCCTCCAGATTTCTACATGATCATCATGAACGCTGACCTTTCCATTTGGCAGGTAATATGGCTACTCTACCCCGAAACCAAGGGCTGCGCTTTGGAAGACATGGACTTGCTATTTCAGAGATGTAGCCGCGCCGGCACAAGTATGGACTTGCACGGACTGGCAGACCAAGAAGAGGACCAAGAACCGCCAGGCGTCGTTGCTACGCGCAACAACTCAGCCGACCGGGGCCCTGAGACGGGAAATGAAGCAGCCGAGGCTCAGCCACTACTTTTGCAATAGAAAACAAGGAGCAACGATTACTGTGCTCAAGGAGACTTGCAATACGTACACTTGCAGGCGTCGCTGTTTCCCTCCATGGCCTGAAGTGTCGGCATGGCTAGTTGATCGCTGTACATTTTGAGTATACAGGTACATACGGCATGTTGCCTTAACGAAGCTCGTCCCGAAAGAAAAAATGCATCAAGTCGAATCATTTTTCTGTTATTTGTGAATAAGCCAACGGGCGCCGACTACATGACAATCAATCCGGGATGGGTGGCATCTATTCTTCATGGACAGAGTGATGCCAAAACGTTTGGCATATTTGAGAGACTTGACGGCATCGCGCGGTGATTTTACAACAGGGTTCGTGTGTCAGCGCTGGCAGCAACGGTGCCTCCAGGTAATTTCGAGCGGCATTGTACGTGGGAATTGGTGCTCTGAATTACCTTTACCCACTGTAGCTATCTACCTACCGCGCCTGCTGCGGCACCAACTGAAGAGGTTTGCTTTCAAGTCACATTCAGTCTACTGGTGTTTGGATTTGATATAGTAGTAGTCTGGGGACGGAGTACTGACTGTATTATTACCTATATGAAAATTGTTGGCAAAGAAACTATTATGTATGCAAGGACTCTCAGACTCAGGCACCGCCGCGTCCACGTGCGGCAGCATACAAACGGCCAATATCCCGCCTCCACTGCTTGACATTTGGGCGAAGGATGCGGCGATCATATGTATACAGGCCGTTGAGCTCGCCTTCAACATCGGTAGTCTGCGTGTAGATGGCACCACTGCAGGCGTACATTTCAATCTGGTCCTTGAGCTCCCCGAACAACACACCGGTGCGATAGTTGTACGCTTCTAGATTCTCATCCATCTCGTACGTCTGGCGAATCTCATCAATGGCCTTTTGAACCTTCCACAAGCTAAATTGAAAATCTTAGCTCATGTTTTTTTTTTTTTTGAAGAAAGGAACGAGGGGTTGAATCTCACTGGTCAGCGGTGACATTGTGTCCAACACCGCCGAATTCGCCTTGGAAGCCAATTCTGCTAGGGTCGTATGGGCCGCCTGGGAGAGACGAAAAGGGGCTGCCGCACTGGGGATTGGCGTAGTGGTGGTTATCCTATGCAGTAATGAGTCAGACTGGCGGGGATATCCAATCAAACCAGACAAGATTGAATAGGGTGAAGAGAACATACCGAAAAGTCACCAAAGCCGTGGTCGTGCCAGCCCGTGACCGAATCAATCAATCTCGTCGGGTCCAATTTTCGTACCATACTCGTCAGTTCGTCTTCGGGGTATGGTGGCCTGTTGAGTTGGGCCCAGCCTTCGTTGTAGATGACCTAGATGGTGGTAATCATCATTAGCGGACGTGACGATTTAAGAGAGCGATCAAGAAAAAGGAAACCAAAGAGGGAGGCAGGACACGCAGTAGCAGAGGAAAAACAAAGAAAGAAAAGGAAAAAAAAAAAAACAAGAGAAAAAAAAAGAAATAGAGCTTACCCAGATTAGAATTGATGGGTAATTCTTGTGCTCATTGATGAGGATTCCCAGCTGGCGGCGAAACTCGGCTTGCTCGTCGGCATTTGGCATTCTGCCGTCAGCAGACATACTAGGCATATCCTGAATCACGACAAGACCCATTTCATCGCAGGCTTGATAAAATAGATCCGGCTCTACTTTTATCTTGGGTGATATAAGTACGGGTTATGCAAAAGGGATCAGGGAAAGACATACATGTTTGCGCACAGTGTTGAAACCAAGGCTCTTGAGCATCTTCAAGTCATACACCATGGCTTCGCGGTTTGGAGGCAGATACAAGCCATCGGGCCAGTAGCCTTGATCCAAAGTCCCGACCAAAAAGGTGAATTTTCCATTGAGTAGAGGCCTTTTGATGCCCTGGACATTGCCAACGGCAATGCTGCGGAATGCCGTGTAGCTGCTAATGGTATCATCGCCCATCGAAACGGTGATGTTGTAGAGATACGGCGAAGACGGAGACCAAAGATTAGGAGAATTGAGTCGAAATTTGACTTCGGTATCAGAGGTGCCGACAGACAAGGCGACCTGTTTGCCATGCTTATCAAAGAGGTTCAACTTGACACCCGTTCCGTTCTTCCCCGAACTGTGAACAGTGAAAGCAACTAGAGGTTGTTAACATAGACCCATAGGCCAGTAGTACTGCAATGAAAGTGGGCATACCGTTGCCATTCATATCAGCTGTGACATCAAGACCAGTGATATGGTTTTGGGGTACACGTTCCAACCAAACCTGCTGCCAGATACCGGAGCAGGACCGGTAGAAAATGTGACTAGGCCGTCTGGTTTGTTTCCCAATGGGACCCATCTCCATGTCTGTCGGATCGTACACGAACACCAGCCTAGCAATATATGAGTATATTATTTCTGAATGTCTACGGGACTCAACGTACAGAGTATTTTCTTGGCCATACTTGACATGATCCGTCACGTCTAGTGTGAAGCGAAAGTAGCCGCCCACGTTGTGGCCGACTTTGACGCCGTTGAGAAACACGGTGGCTTCGTAGTCGACAGCTTCAAAATTGAGCAGTACTTTTTGGCCTTTCCACGAGTCGGAAACCTTGAATGTCCTGGTGAACCACATGCGCGCGACTGGGTATTCCTGAACGCCGGAGAGACCGCTCTCAACACAAGATGGTATCATGATTTCTTTGCCAAGCTGGCCCGTGGGAGGGCTGCTGAGCGCTTCAGCGGTGGGGCGGCCATCTGCGCTCTCGTAGGTCCAGATTCCATTTAGACTCTGCCAACTATCGCGATGCAGCAGAGGGCGCGGATGTTCTGGCCAAGGATTCGTCCCGACTTTATACGTCCAATCAGTGTCGAGCGGAGGGGTCAACACCTTGTACGGCACAGGGCTACGCTTGTCGAGAGACGCCGACAACGCCACAGAGGGCAGTATGGCAAGTATACTACCCAAGACGTTGAGATGGAGCTGCATATTTGATGATTTTAGAAGTCGGTCAAGTGCACAGAGCCATGAAGTATTTGGCGAGACAAAGGCTCTAGCCAGGGGGGCTTTTGCTTGGGCAGCATCCTTTTATAGGCAAAGCATCCAAATGCCAGGCCGCAAGAATTCCTCTAGGTTGGAACTTGGGCTGTCGGTAGCCGAATTTCGTACTTGCAGACTTGCATTCCGCACCTGAACCACGAGGTGCTCAGTACCCCCCGTGCGCCCGTTCCCCCTCACCTTGGCGCGATCATCAACGGAGTCGTTACATGGCGTTGGCTGCAAGTCGCTCACTGTCTATGCCGGCCGTATGTCGGCGTTGTGCACTGGTGCGACTCTACTGTAGTTGTGGTTGGTGGTGATTGGTTCGCCCAAAAGATGCTCTGCTGGTAGCCTCGTGATTACGTCTTGGAAGAGCTCAGTTTGGTTCGCGGGGAACCAAGACATGCACCGGAATGTCGGGGGGATCGGCATTTTGCTAGTGGCTTTGTGTGAGTACCTAGTGAGTAGTAACTGCGGGGTCGGTGCCTGCTTCGTGCGGGGAAACAAAACGGGAGGGAGATGGGAGACGTGAACAAGTAGATGATTGTCATGTGGTTCTCTGATGAATGATGATGTGGATCAAAAGACAGATAGATTATGAATTCATGTATTCTTTTCGGGATAATGCTTGTTTTCTTTTTTTTTTCTTTTTTTTTATAAGATGCCTCTGCAGTGCTGTCTTTGACTCGTACGAATCCTGCTGCTACCTACCTCCACCCACTGTACTGCTGGGGACGGGACTACCTACACAAGAACAAGGGCCCCGCCAGAGCAACACTGCCAGAACATCGGCATCCCGCCTTATTATAGCCTCTTCTATTAATTTACTAACAAGTATTGATGCTATTTTATTATTAAATTTGTCTACAGCTTCTATATAAACAAAAAGAAATAGATTTTCTAATCATTAATTTAAATATACAAGCGTAATATAAAAAAGGAAATATATAGACATATTATATTATTAATTAAACTATATAAGCGCGATATTAACAAAGTACCGCGATATGTGTAGATCTCGTGACCCTAAGTCTCCCCTTATAGCAGTTAAAGGGGTTAGAAAGCACCCGGAAGGACTATATGCTGGGTAACTATATAACGCTGTATCTTGGCTTTATGATTTTAAAACTTTATTCTCGTATTTAGTGGAGTCGCTTGATTTTTTTCCTCGTTGTATAATGCCCTGAGGCGACCTATTGCCAAGCAGCACTTGTTCGGTTTGCCATATAATTGGCTAACAAGGCGTACAGACGTCATGTCTCCCTACTTCCAGCATTCTAGGGCAGCTAGAGTCGGCTAGACTCCACATCAAGTCAAATTAAATCATCTGACAATGGTCGCCGTGGCTGTATTTCATCTTGCTCCATGACTCGGCTGTGCAGTCTTGGCAAAAAGACCATCGGTGTCCCCTACGCGTTGTATAGCTGAACGGTACTAATCCGTACTTGAAGACAGAAACTGTCCAATTAGTGTGAGAAGGCGGCGGCATGGGCCTTATGACGTATGACGAGGGCTCGGAACTAACCGAGGGTGTGGCATACTTTATACTACGTTCCTGACTCATGTATGCGTGTTATCGGAAAGCCGTCGGATGTTAGACACAAGCTATACTACTTTAAGCTGAAGTTTATGCCTCTAATTCAAGGGTGGTAAGCAAGCAGCGAGGCTGAGATGTGCTTGCCTTGTACTGAAATCTGTCTTGTATAAAATGTAATTTTTGTCATCAATATGTATATATACAAATATATATCATATTCAACCACAATATTTGTGTCCGAGTCGCGTTTATAGACTTTACAACAATCAAAACAGCTTATATAGACTTTTGAGACTATAAACCATGACTCGAAAAGCGAGTTGGTGTTTCTACTTACACGTGTATCAAGTATGTCCGATATCGTTCGAGGTGGATAAGCAGTAGCCCACATTTCAAAATTTTGTGCCTTGATATCAGTAAATTAATTTGTCACAGGCCAATCCCCACAATGGGGGCGGGCCGTATGCGCGGTGTTGCATAGGATGAACTCAGCCCTATATGTTGAGATGTTGAGGAAATCGCGGTAAACACTTTTCATTGCCGAACCGATGGACTCGACTATAGATACGGCCATGCGCCGGAAAACTTTTGCCAAAAGAGCATTGCCTCTTGTTACCAGCTCCCATCGGACAAATCTCTTTGCTTTGCGTTGCCTCCTTTGAGGATTCCCTAGCATCATGAATCTCCAAACTGCCGCTTTCCTCATCAACGTCCTTGGCTTTCAGGCCGGACTGTCGGTTGCCGCTGGAGAAGGCGTCGAGGGAGAGACAGGCCGCATGACCCTTGGCTTCAGGTCCGTGGGCCAGGTATGTCGTCTTTTGTATACAGTCTCAACTCATCGGCCAGTTGGGCTAACAAGGAGCAGCAAGAGAAAGACCTCCTCACCAAGACGGGCTCCCTCATCCAGAGTCGCAACACCTTTGCCACGCACATTGGAGATGGAGTCTACTTGGGCAATAGCCCGATACAACGTGATGGCGATAGGTTTGTCGCCCCCCCACCACCCTGCTGTCGCACCCTGCTGTCGCACCCTCACTCACGTCGTGTCTAGTCTCTTCGTCGTCACCGCTGACGAAGCCGCATTCAAGGCCACCTCCAAGGCTTGGATTCCCGAGGAATACTGGACTCTACCCGGCAGAGAAGATGACAAAATGGTGGAGAGAGAGGCTGCCATTTCCAGGGATCAGCTCGAGTACTACATGGAGGACCTCGGGCTGCAGTCAAGCCGCACCGTGAAACTGGCCAGGCTACAAGGTGCTGCGTCGGATGATGTCCTGCAGATGCTTATCCCCAACGACATGATTGCCCACGACCAAAACGGCGCTCCCATCGACGTAGAAAGCAAGCTCGACACCAAGGTTGAACCAACTGAGCCTTCGTATTGGAGCGTTGACTATGATGAATGGGAGGGAATACTCGGCAGCAAGGTCTACACCAAGGAGTCACTGCGCGAAAGAAGCGCCTCCCTGACGGAAAGGGCAACCAAGGCCGTCACTGACGCTGAAAAACTCGTCGAGGCCGATTCCCCCGCTGCGGCGAAGGCGCTAGAAGAGGCGCTCGCCGTTTCAAAGAGATGTGCCGAGGGCGTCGGCCATTTTCACAGACGCCGCCCCGAATGGGTCGAATTTGACGACTTTAACACGGTGTACGAGCAGTACGCCAATGCCCGCAAGGCCAGTGCCAAGCTTCGCAAGATGAAGCTGACCAAGGCCGTGGAGGCGCAAAAGAGCAAGCTGACCGAGGCGGCGGAAAAGCTAGACGACGAAGCGACCCGGGCTGCCGCGGTTGCCGAGGCCCAGGAGGCCGCAGCCGAGAGTAACAAGCTCGTCGAGACAGCCGAAAAAGAGATGGCAGACGTCGAAAAAGCCCACACCAAACTCGAAGAAGTTCGAGGGCAGCTCGACGGCGGCGAACAGGAAGAATTCATCGACCTGCTGGCAGAGAACCCTCAAGCTGTATGGGCCACGCTCCAGGAGTCCTTCACGAGCATGAACGGAAAGGAAGCAGCATCGCTTGATGCAGCCATCAAGGACGAGGCGGACATTACTCAAGCAGAATACTCCATCTTCCAGGAGGGCGTCAACGAGGCCAAGGCCATGGCGACCGAGATTGGGGAAATGGTGACGGCACTCAAGTTTGTGGCTGAAAAGCCGGAAATCCTCTGCCAACGAGCTGGCGGTTTCGACTGCGTGCACGTTTCGACAGACGAGTCTCGCCCGACGGGTGAAGAAAAGCCCGTCAAGGCCGAGCCAGTCGACGAGGGCGAGCTGATTGCCGTCGCCCGGCAGAGATCCAAGGAGAGCTTCGACAACCTCCTCGAGGAATTCGACTACAAGAGCGTGGTCAAGCACGACCAGCTATACAAGGAGCTCAACGAGCGACTGCCCGAGTTCAACCCGGTATCCCGGACGGAAAGAATCACCGGCCTATCCGCCAAGTTTGGCGAGGGTGCGCTGGCCGTGGCCGGAATCGCGCTATACGGCAAAGCCGTTGCCGACGTTTTTTCCGGCGACGCCAGCGTACTAGACAAAGCCGCGGTCGTGACATCCATCCTGCCCGGCATTGGCTGCGCCGTCCAGCTCGCGGATAGCATCGAACACGGCCACGTCGACGCAGGCCACACGGCGCTCTGCTTTGTCGAAGACGCCCTCTTCGTCACGGGATTCTGGGAAATCGCCCTCGTCATGCAGGTCGGCGAAGAGCTCGGCAACTGGATCCAGGCCGAGGACGAGCGCGACAGGCTCTGGGACATGGACCTCCTCGCGCAAAAGGGCGCCGAGGGCTGGCTCGACAACGTGAAGCGGCTCATCAAGCACCTCAAGTCGGACGAGTTTGTGGCCAACGCCACTACGCAGCTGTCGACGTACAAGATCCTGACGCTCTACCAGGCGTCGCAGCTCACGGGCGACTTGCACGCCGCGCACCAGGTCTTGGAGAACGCGACCATGCCGGCGCACGCGCGGCCCGAGCTGAAGCGGCAGATTTGCTCGACGATTGCGGAGAGCAAGTTTCAGCTGCAGACGAAGCTCGAGGCGATTGCGCTCAACCACACGGCCAAGCTGGAGCGCGAGTTTAAGAAGAAATTTCTCGACGATTGGCTCAAGGCGGCGACGACGCCCACGCCCATCTTTGGCATCACGATTCCGGACTGGTCTAGCAATACAAGACGCATCACCGAGGAGATTGACCGCGCCAGGAGCATGCCTCTGCCGCTGTACGAGGCAGAGGTGAAGAAGGCTATTCGGCACGTCATTGAGCGGCTGGAAACGCCCGCCCCGTGTCAGTGTGTGCAGGGCAGGAAGGGGGGTAAATGCGAGTTTGGCGACTGCCAAAGCCCCAAGCCTGGGGGTCGCATGGATGCTGGAGGGAGATTGTATGCTACTAGTGTGGACTCCATGGAGAGGGCACAGAGGATACGCTTGACGCCAGAGTGCCAGGGACTCTTTACTACATGCCCGGTTGGAACTATGGCGAGCGACATTGGCAGGCCGCTGTGGTGCACGCCGGGTAAATGATGAGTTTCCTTGGCTAAGCATGTATGGAAACAAGGGCGACTAGGTGACGCTTGTTAACGGGCAGATGGGAGAAGGCAGTATATAGGATTAATAGAAGGCTTTTGCCATGTTATCCAGTCAGTTTCATAAATAGTGCAAAATATCGTATACGACATGTACAGTGCCTAATTACTGTAATTACTGTAAAAGTACATTGGTTGGCTAACAATGGCGAATGCCCAGCGTTTTGTCCCAGTTGGGGCCAGTACTGTGGTGCAAGATGCCGACATGCGGGCTAGGTGGTCAAGTGCCAACTTTCCGAGAGGAAAAGAAACTACAGGGTCATTTCCGAGTAAGTACTTAACATTAAACCTCCATATCACAACGATGCACCGGGCTCACTAGCATGGACAAGTTTTATAAGAATTTCAATACCCCCGAGCACTGTGGCTAAGGTCTTTTACAGTAGATACAAGTATTATATTACTTTAAAAAGTATACTCCGTACGTTTAGGCGTAAAATCCACTTTTACCGTCACTTTTTGATACCCACTGTAGGTGGTTACAACCCCACTGTACCAAGTACCAACTGCTATGAGCTAGCATCAACGGCTATTCCGATTGGTGTAAACTTGATGTGCTCGCAAGAATTCAACTGTGCAATGTAACATACAAACAAGTGTTTATACAAATGTTCCCTCGAGCGTGATCTTTTGCGCCGTCAAATGCGGGCGTACTCAGCCAATAATTGTCCATCGTCACGGCACGAGAATAGATGCCTGAGAAGATACTTGTCTGTGGTAATTCCATGCCTAATTATGCTATTGTGGGGGGATCGTAGGTGAAGTGAAACGTCTGTCAGAATCTCACTATATATAGTGGGGAGACACAAATTCCGTACGGTTTGTTAGCCAAATTATATGGTAAACTGTACCGAATTATTGTCAACCCACTGTACATACATAGCTCACTCTATACTGTATATTCTAGACTCTAAAAAAAAAAAAAAAAAAAAAAAAAAAAGAAAAGAGAGAGAGAGAGAGAGAGAGATGACTTCTAGATCAAGTTCATCAGAGGCAGAGAATGCTAGCGCCTATATATATTTGTTCTGATGAGGACTTGACACTGCGTCTGGTGAGCGCCACTAGCCCTGGTTAAGAGACCTGCTGGAAATTCTCGTTGATACCATCGAAAACGCTCCTCAACTTTACGTAAATATGGAAAGAATATCGTCTTCTCATAAAAATTATAGAGCGGCGTGGTGGCACGAAAATCTGATACTGGCCAGAAAGGCAAGCTACTCACCAACATACCACGGAACAGCTAATGAATGCAAGCTTACGTGAGAGGCGCATTGCCACAGCCTAGTGAGCGGAAACTCAACGCAACAGGTAAAGAGGACAGCAGGCTCGGAGGGGTCAGCAAGGGAAACCTTCCTTCCTGTTACTGTTACTACTCAATCTTACAATTACAGGTCACAATTCGGCGCCAAAAGCAGCAAAAGTTTGGGGTACATGTGTCAGCTTGATCTGGTCAAAAGAGCCATGGTGGAGCCGGCATCTTATTTAGCTTCGTGTCCAGGGTGACGAATATGATAACCATGTACTCGATGCTTGCGGATCTGAATGCGTTGATCGGATGTACAGGCCAAACCCCCGACTTTAGCAGAGCAAAATGGCCACTTGGCACTGGGCCTCGGGGATCGTCGTCGCCCAGGAAAATCTCTTTAGCGCGGCTCCGCTACCAAGACCTATTGGGGTGGAATTTTGGAGCATGGAAAATAAAATAAAAATAGGAATAAAAATAAAATCAAGAGTGTTCCGGGTGGTGCTTCCGAGCCACAACTTGAGATGAGCCAGTCAGGTCGGCTCGCCCTGCCGAGAACTCGATCCAAGCCGGCTGGCCGAAAGCACCGTCTGTCTTGCTTCGAGGCTTTAAATAGATGCAGCTGAAGGCACATGTTTTATTGGGACACAGTGTCAACTGCAGAGGCAGTTTGCTCGCATACGCTCCCCGCGTAGGAATCGGGGCATAGGAGCCACGCAGCGTAATAAATGACCCTGCATGCCAGACTCCACGGCTCTGTTTGCCACATGTGAAAGAGCCGTCTTGCTGTGTGGATACAAGAATCACCTAAAAAAAGAGAAGTAGCTCGACATTTATACAATCCCACCGAGTCTCATGCAGCCATCCAACCATCCCATCCGTGGAAGAGAAGGGGTTACGCACAATCAAATACACCATGCCCAATCATGAGCTCGAGCATCCACCAATTTTTGCATGCTGGTCAAATCCTTCTGCTGGGTCTAAACATTGTAGTCGTGTTGAGGCGGAGCTGCCCACACCCCTCAAGAGCTGCCAGAAGAGCAAAGGCAAAAGCCGAGACTTTGAGAGTGCAAACGAAATTACATACCATAGTATAGCTAATGTATTATATTATTAATATCCACGAATTAGAATAGTAATATGGTATATTTAGCAGGGCTTACGCCCCACCTGTGAGTTGAGGCTGCGTAGGACCGGACTTCGGCCCTGCATGAAGGAATTCCTGCTAAGCGAACGACGGAGAAAAGGCCCCAGAGTACGGCGGTTAGGTCGCAAGGGCTTTCTATTGGGCGTTTGTGTATATTTTATGTGATTTAATCCTAAATCAGTTTCACCTGGCGGTAGCGTCAGGATTCGGCACTATTTTAAGAAAAACACCTGCTCGATGAGGAGCTACTTTATTTAGAGACGTATACATCTAAATACAGTAGCATGTGAAATAGAATATTAAGCTAGTGGAAAAGCTTACGCCGCCGTGGCGGCACAATTGCCACGGTTCTTTAGTCTAGGACATAATTCGGGATTCAGGTACCTTCGGTAGGATCTGAACTGTTTTAGAGCCCCGGTCATCGAAAACGAAGGATCAAAATTGCAAGAGCTTGCAAGGTATCTGCGTACGCTTTACCGAGTCTGGATCAGATGTTCAATGCGGTAGACATAAGCCGCAGTAATGGAATCGGCCGCTGAGCCTTGTTTCTGGCTCGATGAAGAGATGGGCAACAAGATTGCTAAAAGGGATGAGCTGATGTTGACGTTGCAATGCGGTAAACGGACCTGTCCCAAGTTTTGAATCCATACGTAGCATTTGATTGCTTATTACGGGGAAACAAGTTTGTCATAGTCGGCGCCTAGAGATGACAGCCTTGGCCAGTGAGCATATAAGTAGAGCTTATCCAACCACTCAAATCGCAAGTCCTCTTATCAAGACACATTGTCCTATAATATTCTTTTCATCCATCACTATGGGGAAAGAGCTAGCACAACAATTATCCGCCACGCAGTCAGATGTGGCGATTATTGGCGGCGGCGCAGGCGGCGTTGCTGTTGTTCTACACCTTATCGAACAAGCGAAGAAGGGGAGATGCCTCGGCGAGATTGTCATTATCGAGACGAGAGATGTGCTGGGCCCCGGTCTTGCATTTTCAACTGATTGTCACGGAACGATCCTGAACATGCATTCCGACACCATGGGAATTTACCACGGGAACCCGCGAGACTACACACAGTGGCGCGAGAGCCTGGAAGATGGACCCTTTCCATCTCGTGTCGACTACGGGAAATATCTCCAAGAACGCTGGATCACAGCCATAGAGGAGGCTCGTGTTCTTGGCCTCACCATTACAGCCATCCAAGCCAGTGCAACAGATATTGACAAGGCTGGGGATACGGCATATAAAATTACGCTCGACAACCAGACCACTCTCACTGCACACTCCGTCGTCCTTGCTCTGGGGAATTTTACCGGGTCAGCAAACTCGCATCTGCTTGGCAAGGCTGGCTACTTCCCCAACCCTTGGCCTACAACCCAGCTCAAGTCGATCCCCCCCACTGCACACGTTCTCGTCGTTGGTTCAAGGCTCTCCGCCGTTGACGCCGCGCTGTACCTGTCAGAGAATGGCCACCAAGGCGCCATCACTTTCATGTCCCGCAGCGGCAAGCTGCCCAGAGTACAGGGCGACCCGGTTCCCAACCCGCGTCGGTATGCCCTGCACGAACTTGCGCGGCAGGTCGAGGGCAACCCCGACGAGAGTCTCTTGCGGCTTACGAGCTCCTTGATGGACGAGATTTCCATGGCCACCAACGGCGACTGGAGTTGGATGCTGGAAAGGGACTGCCCTATGGAGCAGCTTGAGGCGGATTTGATGGCTGCCCAGGAGCAAAGAGTCCGCTGGCAATCTATCCTGAACGGCACTGCTCCCGTCATTGAGAGATATTGGAACTCTCTTTCTTCAACGAGCCAGAAGCTATTCATGGAAAAGTTCAACAGTACTTGGATGACATACCGTCATGCCATGCCGATAAAGAACGCCAAGCGTGTCCTGAAACTGCTTCAAAACTCTCAGCTTCAAGTCGTCCGAGGAGATACAATCTATTGGGATGGCATGTTCAAAGCCGAGACCTCTGCGGGTGTCATTGAGACCTGTTATGTGATTGAGGCTACCGGTCAGGAATGCCACACCCATCGCATCAACTCTCCCTTGGTGCAATCTGCCGTGCACAAGGGGCTATTGACGCCGCACGCCGCCGGCGGAGTTGTCGTCGATTTCCAGAGTCTACAAGCGTCGTCCAAAGGCCTCTACGTCATGGGCTCACTCACCAGAGGCACCCATTTCTACGTCAGTGCCACTGATCGTGTGGCTGCACACGCGTCTCGCATTGCCCAGTCGCTGACTGGTGAGCCGTTTTCTATGCATTTGCATGCCGCCATTTTTGTCGGTGGAAGCTTGGTCTCCCACCTCATGGCCAGCAAGCTAGTGCCTGAGCTGATTCACGCTGGCCACGTACCTTATTTGTTCCTGGTGTCCTCGGCCGCCGCCGAGCCGGAGAAGCAAAAGGGTGGTGAGCTGTCCGACTTTCCCGAACTTGGCTTCTTTGAGAATGAGCTGCTACAGGAGCATGTCATTCCTTACTTTGAGAAAAAGGATGCCGAGGATGCGAAAAGTCCTACACTGTGCCAATTGGCTTCCAAGTACGGCATTCTGGTCCAGCAGCTGCCTGCTGCCATCGGCGACAAGTCATTTTCTGAGAAAATGGGCCAGCACCACATTGATATGGGACTGTCGCTCGTCTCGAGCGACAGATTCAGCGACAATGCTCTTGGGTACTTTTCCAGTGGCAAGAAGCTGCTTCATCTGTACTCGGAAAACCTGCCATCCTATCGCGGTGTCATGTCCGCTGCGCGCGCCATGAACAACAAGGAAAGCCACTTCATCTATTCTCTGCGCGAAATGAAAAGAGGCGCAGCTCTGGGTCACGTCATTGACATTCGCAAGCATGCCATTGACTATTCCAAGTCTACACTTGCTTGCATGAACGACGTCTACGCCCTCGGCATCGACATGGCCATGTGTGCCGTCGGGAAAATTGCCCGGGCGGAGGACCTCGGTGCTGTGGTGGGCAACATTGGCGGCGAAAACGACGCCGTGTCCTCCAATCGGCCATCGAAAGAAGAGGTGGAGGAGTATGCCGCGAGCATCGTGCAGATACTCGTTGATTCTTTTGCCTCGACGCAAAAGAGGGACGATTTCCAGTCCCATATTCTAGGGGTTGTGAGGGAGTGGTCAGACAAGAATTGCGCGTAGATGATCCAACAGTGCTTCTTCCATCTACCTAGCGAAAGGTATCACGGTTATCACTATGCTGGGCATCTAATTTTTGACCGGCCATTGAATATATTACTGATTTCATTCCATATTTTTTTCTTCACTAGCCTCCCAAAGCTAGTTGCACAAAGGCTCTGCTGGGATACGACTAATTCGATGCGATTGTGGGCTAGGAGCAGACAGGCTGCGTGGTCTGCCTACATCAAGTAATAAATGCTGATAAAATGATCTCTATCGTGGCAAAGTTGCCCATCAACTGCAACACGTAGCACGCGAGACGCTGCAGCACACGCCACCTATGTATCGGGCGGCCGAGGACGCAATGTCGGAAATAACTACGCCACGCCACGCTTGTTTCGGCTTTGCTACTGGACTAATACAGGGAAACAATCGACACCGTCGCGGGAGGAGACAAAATAGCGGCCCGGCGCCACTGTTCACGGCTTTCCACGGCCACATCCTGTGATGGAGAGGGGGGTTACGAGCTTTTTATTTGCGAGAGCGGCAAGGAGGCTGCGGCAAGAAAGCTATGGCATAGTTGAATCAAAGGAGGCATATCTTGGAACGCAATTTTGGGATATTTGGAAGGATAATTATCATATCCATCACACATCTCCTCTTTCGTATCTCGTTTTTCGTATCTCGGTTCGCCAACTAGCACCAGCGCTAGTGGCGCCGACGATCTACAGCGGGGTCTGGTGGTCCGTATTAATCGTTTATAGAGCTTGGATACCGCCCTCGTAGCGTAATTGTTCAATCATGGAATCCCGTTAAACTGCTCTGCTAGGATACTTCTGCTTCGTCGGTCAGCATGTCCGTAATGATATACATATATATTTATATATATATAAGGACCCTTTCCCATTTGATGCTACTGCAAGTAGCGAATTCTTTGAACATCTTAGAGAACCCATACACATAAAAATGCATCTACATCTTACATCTCTTTTACCTTTCCCTTTGCTCCCGTCACTTGTTACGGCCCTTCTCAACTGCCGTCCCGATGGCCCTGTTCTTCCAAAGCCAACCTCTCTTCAAAAGTCGCCCGTTTTCGAATCAGCAGCCGCTAATCTCACCAACACCCTCAATGATGCAATCAATGGCAGCATCGCAGCCGGATGGGCTGTTGAAAATGTGTCCTTCTCGCTGGCCGTCGTCTCCCTCGACCAGGCAGACCCCGGCATCCCCATCTGGGAGTTCCACCACCAGGCGAAAACCAGTGTCAATGGCACAAAGAAAATAGACCGAGATTCGCAATATCTCATCGCATCTATAAGTAAAGTCTTGACAGTCTACATTCTGTTGATGAGCGATGTGAATATCGATGATCCGGTAACAGAATTCTTGCCTGAGCTCGGAAACAACAGTTCTACAATGCAGTGGCAAAGCATAACGCTACGGATGCTGGCTTCACATCTTGCAGGAGTGCCGGCAAATGGTAAGCCAGTTCAAGAAAAAAAAAATTAGCCTAACTGATATATATGCTGCATACTGACATTCCGCAATGGTAGATGGATTCTCCGAGTATTACTACTTGAAAGATCTTTTCTTGTCACATGGCTTCCCGCCTATTGGTGACTCTGATTACCCGCAGTGTGAAGTCATCGGACTCAACAATGCCTGCAGCAAACAAGGTAGAAGAATTCGCCCAACGGTCTTTGGTAAGCAATTGCTGATGGCTTGACTAGACTTTATCGGCCACATGATAGGCGCACGTCCAATTACAGTACCAATGGAGCGACCTGCTTACTCGAACGCTGCCTTCAATGTCTTGGCCATGGCACTGGAGGCCGCAACGGGCAAAAACTATACGCAGATGGTAAAGGAAATGTTCTCAACGAATCTCGGTATGAAGGACACTCTCCCTTCGCCTGGTTGTGATAACAAAGCTGTCATTCCCTCTGTGGAAAGCAACTGGGGTACAGATTTCGGCTATAGTGCTCCGTAAGTATATCAGCCGGTTGCCTATGAGCAATCATATCAAGAGAGCATGTGTATGCTAAATATGAGAATTGCAGTTCAGGTGGTCTTGTTTCTACTACTTCGGATCTATCGAAATTCACGCACAGACTTCTCGCCCGCTCTCTGGGTCTCAGTCCGACCCAAACCCGGCAATGGCTCAAACCAGACGCATTTGGCGGGAGCACATCTACTGCAGTTGGCATGCCGTGGGAGATTTTCCGACCAGCTGACCTTGTTCCTAAACATCCTCATCCGATTACAATCTACGATAAAAATGGCGGTGCTCTGGGGTATCGCAGTCAGATATCGGTGCTTGACGAATACGGCATCGCGCTCATCGTTCTGTCGGCCGGCGCAATGAACGCACAGCCGTTACTCACAGACGCCATGCTTGCACAATTTGTTCCCGCCATAGACGAGGTATCCAGAAAGCAGGCCGACCATGACTACGCACGCAACTTTGGCAGAAACTGCAATGGTGGAAATAGCAGCGTTATAGCCAACATCACCTTCAAACAAGATATAGACTCACTCACCGTCTCTTCTTTTCACCTCAATGGCTCAGACATGCTCGCATCGATACCAGACATGTGGAATCTGACTATGGGACAATACTCTTCTCCCGTGGGGCCGAAATTACGCCTCTTTCCTTCAGACATGGTCAAGCAAACAAAAGTACAGCATGAGACGTTGACGAGCGAAATGTGGCTCCTATGGCCCGAGTTGATTGATGGAGAACGCTCGGACCTACCTGGTGCTGGACTGGAACATGCGAATTGCATGACTTGGGCCATCGGAGATTGGGTCCATTATGGAGGTCAGCCGATCGATAGGGTCCTGTTTTATAGGGATGAGAATGGCAAGGTTGTTGGCTTTGAGGCGCCCTTCTTACGAACAGGCATTTTGCGGCCTTGAAAAGGCATCGGAGGCGGCCAGGGCTAGTTGGATTCATCAAGGTACGGAATTTAATTCCGCTCCCAGCTTATTTTACGAAATTTTAATAGTATTTCCGGTGGTCCTCCAGCGTCTTCTGGACATTTGCGACATTGCGATATTTTATTGCTATGAGAGGAGCTCTAATTTGTCTTTCGAGACCCAACTCACGCTGCTTAGGTGTCGCGCCTGTCATCCATTCAGCAGTCATGAATACATTTTTTTTGCAAAATATAATTACAAGTTAGCTATCACATGCATCTTTACCCCTAGTTGAAATAAATAGTACTGTGCCCCTTGGCAATACTCTTCAAGACACCTTCATCGACCTTGGGCGGGAAAAGTCTAGTACCGCCTTGTTCGCGGCCGTGACTCGTTTCAGATCCCAATTCTGCACGAACCCGGTAAATGTTGCCAGACGATTGTATGAGAGGTTCTCAAAGTCGCATAATGTGACCGCCGCGCCCGCCACTGCCTCCACCTGCACCTCGGTCTGGATGATCCACGCAGGAAGCGCCAGCGCTTTCTGCCCGGCCGGCATGCAAAACCTGTCTACCGTCGCGAGTGCAGTGATGCACCCCAGATTGGTCGTACTGCTCACGACCCGCATCGAATGCGGCCGCGAGAAGTCGAGCGTCTCGCCGTTGTTGGCCTTGACGGCCTTGAGCGCCGCGTTCTCGACGCTTCCAACGAATTCAGCGACGCGGTTGTATGAGAGGTTGTCCATGTCGCACAGCTCCACGGCCGTGCCAGGTCCGGCATCCACGCGTACCGTGTGTCCCCTAATCCACTTTGGCAACGCGTATTCGGCCGTGTCCCCGGGCGACATACAGTACCTATCGTTGGTCTGTGTGCTGACGATGCAGGCCCGCGGCCCCGTCTCTGACGAAAACCGCGCTTCTGGGTACTTGCTTAGGATCCAGGACTTATACTTGGCGACGCGCACGCCCGTTGACTTGGAACCGGTGCCACCGTTGGTCGCCGCGATGATGACGGCCCGGCCGTCACGGACCTGCCACCACGCTGAGCCACTATCGCCCGGCCCCACCCGGCCCCATGACGCCGATGGGCCGGCCTTGTCATAGCTCGCGCCGATACCGTGGTCGAGTTCAAAAATGTCGTCAATACGGGCCCGCGCGTACAGCCGCCGCGCGCCTTTTGCCGGCCAAAAGGACCCGCTTCCCAGTCCGCCGACGCCCCAGGCCCCGTAGCCGACAAAGACGACGTCCCGGCCTTTTTCATCTAGGGCGTCGTTTAGGATCGGCTGCTCCAGTGGACGGCCCGTCTTCCCCACAATCTGCGCCTTGGTAGGGAGTTTTAGAATCGCAAGGTCCGTTGAGGCGCCGCCCATGCCGCTCGGTTTGTGTATGCGCTGGGGTGGCACGTACGCGGTGCCCTTGCCCGAGGCAATGACGCGCCCATCCCATGCCTTGAAGGTTTTGGTCACGCTTGTAACCTCGTCTTTATACCCGGCACAATGCGCGGCCGTCAGGATATAGCTCCAGTTGTCCTTGTCGCCCAGCCACGTCGCGGTGCAGCCGCTAATCTCTCCGACGGCGAGCCAAGGGGTGTTGTAGCTGTAGGAGCGCAGGAGCTCATTTTGCGTCTTGATGCTATTCGGGATGTCGTTTAAATCACCACCGTTGAGCTGAAATGTAGCCTTGTCAATGACGAGCGGGTGAGCAGACACGTGCCGCGCTGCCAGCGTGGCGAATGAGACACCCCAGGCTGGTTTCATGCTTGCGTGCAAAAAGGACGTTGCCTCGCTGGTGTTGGCCAGCAAGCTTCTGTTTGACAAAGGTCTGCAATAGGGAAAGTTAACCTTTTGAGCGGGTGGTTAACTAAATTTCGAATGAGGTTGAAGACAGACGCTCATACTGTATTCTTACTATATATACACTTTTTGTTTACCTCTTCCGAGGATATGGCTACTTCTTACTTCAGTAGATGCCATATGAACAAGACGCAGTTTACAGACATTTACTCGGATTTCCCTGACGCGAAAGAATTGCTGTACTTCTCGCGCTACCACCCCACAGGATGAGGTCGGATGACTCAATATTGGTCCTAATATTAGCTATGTTAGTCAATTCAACTACAGGGGATCGTCTCGTACCGAGGCAATCCCCGGCTGCTAGCTAGCCGCAGATACTTGCGCAAATCGGTCTTATGCATACTATCTGAGACTATTATTTTCAGTAGGTCTTCTCCAACACTAGTGATAGCAAACTTCAAAGTCCTCGCAACATCCCAAAACGCGGGGCGATGTATAAGACCCCCTCTCCCCTGGTCCTTTAGGTAATCGGCACCTACAAGCCTCCAAGAAATATTCATGTGATACAAGGGTCCATGAAACGTATTTGGGGGGCAGTAAACGCCAAGTCTCAAGAAGTTAGATTTCACATGGGACTGTGATTGTTGTAGCTTAGAAACATTGATAATTCAGGAGAAAAGAAACGTTCTTTGTAAAGTCGCGTAGACACGATGGCCGCAAGCCTGTCGAGTAAATACTGCTTAAGCAAGTATGGGTACGTATTTAACACAACAAATATCAACTCTAACAATCGATCATGCCGAGTAGAGCCTAAATTCAACGACTTCCTATGAGCTCGTTTTATCGAGAAAGAGGACAGGTATAAGCTATAATCGGGCATTGATGCAATGGTGTGGTAGTGGTGAAAGAGTGACACTTGTTGCTCCTACGGCGTGAACATGGCGTCGCCGTCAGTACACCCCAAGTCGACCCCCACGGATATACGCCGATCTACTGTGTAACCTTTTTCTGCTTCTCGGTGGATATTATTCGTCAATAGTGTTTAATAGGGAAGAGCATGCTGTTACTATAGCAAAATACTCCACCTACTCTAGGTTCTCCCGGCTCTTCCGCCCCGCCTTCTAATCTCTACTCTTAAAATTTTACTATTAGAGTCTCGTCATTCGAGTTCGCGCTGTTGGATTTATTCGCTTCGCTTCTCGCCGGGTCTCGTTTTATTAATTGGGGGATTAGAAAGATTTATTTGTCGTTTTTAGCACGAAGAAGCGCGTCTAGAGCCGCTTATAGCGAGCTACTTGATGAATATGCGGCTCTCGCCGTTCCAATACTTTACTAATGTCGGCGGTAATATAATTTTAGAATCATGTGAATTAGTTGCGCTTGTATAGATGACAGCCTGATCAATGAAAGGCTGCTGACTCGGATCTCGCTGGTTTTTGCCAAGCTATAAGGATACTCCAACTACAGCTGTGGGCACTCGTACTAATAGTACGGTGCAGGCCCTGTGTAATTATTGCCCTTGCTATCATTTTCTTCTCAAAAGTCCGCGTACAGTACCTCGGCTCAGTGCAACCGCACACGTATTCAACATCCGAGGAAGATTTTGTTCAGCCTATTACGCTTCTACAAAGCGGATGTGACGTGGAGTCTGCGGACTAATGCTTCACTGATACGTCAATATTGCGGAGTAGCCCGAATCGTGCGACAGTCTGCACCCTGATCCGCCGCTGCCCTCTCTCCCTCCCTCCTCTCTCTCTCTCTATATATATATGCCATATATTATAGTCAGCACTGCTTACGTCTAGATTCATGCTTAAAATAATTCACAAACCACTAAAAGGCCTTTGTTGCTTTCTACATACCTTCTGTTATACTGACTGGAAGGGCGGTTGGCGAGTCGGATCGATTTTCTGTATGTGAACCAGAATGCTGTTCATGGAAAGTTGGTAAAATGATATTCAAAAGGTAACCAGGCCAGGTTTCACGTACTCATGAGGGCTTGTAAGAGTACCAATTGGTCGCGCTGGGCTGTCTTCCTACTTTATGGTTAGGACTGTAGTATCGTCCTGGCACAGAACTGCGTCTATAAGCATGTGAACGATATGAGATAGACTCTGACATGGCCTACATTAACCTTGTCATATCCATCTGAGTTTGTGTCAGGGGCTCAGCCTAAAATTCATTATTCGCAAAACACTGGCTGATAGTTGTAATTTGCAAAAGTCAGTTTGTCAGAACAGAGACCGGCATACAATTAGCCGTGAGAGTAAAACAGTTACTTGAGATATATTGATCATTGCTACTGCTATAATTGTTGCAAAGCATCATTTTCCTCGCTCGGCTTTTGACATATTCGGCCGAAGCGGCAGTGCGCTAGTTTATTACCAAGTCTCGTGGCCGATGACATAACATGCAAGCACCTTTCCCCCTCACCTCTCCAACTCGCATCCCTTTACCGCCAATCATTGTCGCAATTGTTCTACGGCACTATGGCCCACACTCGGGAATTTCATGTTCGATTGGCGAGCCAAGAAGATGACGTGCAATTTATCATCGCAGCTTTCGGCTCGACGCTGCCGCACCTTGCTGCGATCGGCTCTACAAAGATGTGGGGAGAACAGCCCTTATCCGAGCAAGTGGTAGTACCTGGCCCGGTACTCTGTTTCGCATGACTTTAGGTAGTAAATAATAGCTCGAGTATCGAAAAACCCTTCAACTACATTTTTCATACTCGAGATTATAGCGATTCTCGCCGTTGAAGCTTGATAGCGCCGTAATAAGCAATGCCGCACCGCGGCGTCATCTACGCATCATCTTAGAAACCATGCCGCATATCGTCCGAACTCTTTGTCTCCTAGGGCTAAAACATAGCTTAGCACGTTTTATTTGACCAATCATGCTGTACCTTCATCACATAAATAAAACTGATGCTGCGCACCTGCAATCGCTTCTTGCTACCCTTCATCATCTCCGACAATTTCTCACGGTCTACTATGAGTACTTCGAACTTCGACACATGCCCCGAGTCTACATCCGACAAGGATCAATGGAAGACTCGCCCCCCCTACCGCGTACACCTCCCCAATGAAAACTTTCACACTCTATATGAGGCAAGTTGCCACTGCGGCCGAGTAAAATACCAATTAGGTCGCGAAAAGCCCCTGGACAGCAAGCTTTGCCACTGTACGACTTGCCAAACTCAACATGGTAGGTTCTCTGGTCCTGAAATTTGATCATCGTCCTGACATCCGCAGCCGCACCCTTCCAATGGGCCGCCATTTTCCACAAAGATGACATCAACTTCATCAAGGGCCACCACTGCCTAGAGTGGTACGATCCTACCGAAAAGACAGTCGAATACAAATTACCGTGCAAAGTTCGCTGCAATTACTGCCATTCCCCAATCATGGACGAAGGGCGGAACATGATTCTGCTCTTTCCCTCTCTGATACATTTCAAGTCTGACAAGGAAAGAGAGAATTTTAAGCCGAGGTACGCATGCAGAATCTGTTTTATTTAATCATCTCCAAGCTGACTACTTAGATTGCACATGTTCTACCAGCAGCGTGTGATGGATGTCCCAGACGGCCTTCCAAAATGGTCGGGAATCAATGAAGACAGCGAGTTGATCGAAGACAGCCCACCAGAGAAGATAAAGGAAGAGGAACGAGAAAGGATCAAGAGATGAATCAAGAATCTATACTTTGAAACAGCAGGGACTTACTAGTAACACTATTATTGTTAGACCTACAAGTGGCTTGTTCTGACTACGCAGGTGTACGTACCGTACGTGGCCCGTACACGGCTATAAGTAGGTAGCCAGAATCAAGTCAAGTACTAGCTAGCAAGGATCAAGCTTTTACATCAGCTTTACCACCACCTGTAACAACAAGCGTTAGTAATCACCTTAGGCGTAACACAGCTAGTCAGGTCAGCGATAGTCAGGTTTTCTTGGCCTACGTTGCCGAGTCAGGCAGGGTCTTGGCTAAAAAGTGCCTTTATTAGCGTAAGAGTCGCTCCGAAGGAATGCATAAGGCAATGAGACAACTTCTTACCATATGAAAGAGGGAATTTCGTTAATATCTCTAAGTAGTTCAAGGCGTTCTGATTCAAATTGTAAGCATTCCTCTTAATGCTCTGAGCTGTGTTTGCTATGCTAATTGATGCATATACATCTTTTGCTCCACGGATCCATGTGCACGAAATTGTCAGTGGCGCAACGGTTGCTCTAAGCACCAAAGGATAGGGCAACATGAAACGGACAAAACAACAGACGCAAAACAACCATGATTTTCTTTCAAATACAAAGTGTCGTGCGAAAGTACTACATGTCTGTCTGGTATCTTTTCTCTCTGCAAAAATTGACCCCTGTTCTGAGCTAGCAGACATGGGTTCTCACAGCCCTGTAATTCTTCAATCTTGTTGGTACCTACCAAGGGGGTGACAAAAGAGCTGGCCCATTCTTACAAGGCGTCCGCATACTACTTAATAAAAGGTGCAAAGAATAGTAAATAATAGAAAATATTTTAGAAAAACTAATAAAAGACACAAGATATAGTTTAGGCACTAAACTTTAATCTCGTCTTTGTTTTAGCTAGATAGACATTTTCTAGGGTTTATTAAGAATTATTTAGATATAGGCAGCTAAACTTTGGCACTCTCGTTATCGGCTATTTTCTTTGTTACCCGCGTGCTACCTATATCACTCAGTAAGTTCCAGCAGTTTATCATTCAAAGAGGCTAAACCAGAGCCACTTGATTATTCTTATGTAATATAATGGACTTATTAGATGGTGCAGATAATAAATTGCAATAGTCAAATATCCACCTTAATTCGGGCTAAATTTAGCTGAGTCGAGATTTGCGCGAGCATGAGTCAATCTATGCTGCGTACGGAGAGAGAAGGGCAGGGCGTGTGTAACTTTGCAAGCTTCTAGAAGGTGCAGAAGGAGGCGGTCGCTAAATAAATAGTGGCCACTGCATCGAGTCCAGTAGAACCTGTCCAAGTATACAAGGGTTATTATTAGTTATTCGGTAGAGAACACTCGACCTTGTGTGCGAGAGACCTTGCGCGAGATGGGCGGTTCGGCTGTCATGATCAGCAAACAAGCCAAACGGGTGACGGGGGCCAGTTACTGTTTGGGGGAAAATAGAACAAATGGGGCAAGGGAACGGGGAGGAGTAATGGGGATTCCCAAGGAGATGATGGGCATAAAGCAGACCCTGTTTGTCGAGGTGCATGACTGAGGGAAGAGAAGCTGTGCGTGACGTTGCCTCGTCCAAAGAGTCAGTGCGTCGTTGCAATGTTGTCAGTTTAAATGCGAGAGCATCGTCTCCAGCCAGCCATTAAAGCTGGTGCAGGCCTAGAAAGGCAGTGTAGTCCCGCCTTAAAACGACCTCAACCATCAAACATCAATCGCGCCATCATCTGAGCTTCTCCTCATACTGTTCAGGTTTCAAACCCAAACTTTACGACAGTTTCGGCTCTGAAGACGATGCGCGTTTCTGCGACCTCTCTCTGCCTGCTGGCTGGCCAAGCAGTGGCGGCACCTCCTGCTGCTCGTCAAGACGGTGCTGCCGGACCGGTCGTGCAGGACGGCGTCTTTCAATTTCCCTTCTTTACCATCGCCCACAAAGAAGAGCTGCTCAAGGGCGGCAATGGGGCGACCGGCACCGCGACAACCAAGCGTCAAGTGCCCGCCGGCCTTGACAATGTCAATTATGGTGGTGTTTGGCCAGCCATGGTCCTGGGCATGACCATAGAGCTCGGCACCCCGCCCCAAAAGGTCCTCGTTGAGCCCGACACCGGATCTTACCAGCTGTGGGTGCCTGGCGCAACCCCAACCGACGGCGGCACGGATGTCGAGTCGGTTTACTTTGACAGAAACGCGAGCACCTCGAAGCAGGATCTGAAGATGGAATCGGGATGCGCTTATGGCACGCGTGAAAGAGTTCAGTTGAATATGTTCAGTGACGAAGTCTCTCTTGGCGGTAAGGATGAGGTTTTAATTCTCTGGTTTCTTCTTCTTGAGATGTGATGGGGCTGACAAGCAACGTTTAGGCAAGTCCCTGGGCCAACTGGCCTTTGGAATTGGCAATATGACCAGCCCCCATACTACCTTGGGACGCACCATCGGTGTCATGGGCCTCCTCCCCGCCCCTCCCCATAGCAAAGACAGTACCGACTTTGTTCCCCAGATGCTTCTAGACAAGAAGATTACCAAGACCCGTGCGTTTGGCATGGCGTTGCGCGAGAATGGCCAAGGTCTGCTTACATTTGGTGGCTACGACACGAGCAAGTTTTCCGGACCTCTCGAGAAGCTCCCCATCCTTCCGAATAAATGGAGACAGTACGTCCAATCATTGCGTGTTTTCTCTTTTTTTTCTTGTCCCTATATCTCACTTATACGGTCAATAGTTCTATTGTTTCGATCCAGTCTGTTTCCTTCAAGGCCAGCAGTTGCGGTAGCAGTGAGGTCGTCCTGAACAAGGAAACGGCATCAAGGGATTTGACCATGTGCATCGACTCTGGATCGCCCGCTCTGGTTTTGAAGAAGGACCTTTTTGAGATAGTGGAGGCAAAACTCCAAGCAAAGCCCTCGTCAGGTCCTCTGAAAGTAGCCTGCGACGTTGTCGACGCCGGTGCGTCGCTCGATTTTAGATTGACCAACAGTACCAGGGTATCGGTGCCCCTTAGCGACATGTTGCTTCAAAAGGTTGACAGTGGCAAAAACTGCATCCTCGCTATTCAGAAGAGCAGAGTGCCATCTGGTACGTCCTCCTCCCCCTCACCCGCCATTGCTCCTTGACAACCCCGAGGCTGAATCCTGAATCTATTTGACGAGGGCTGACTTGAATGCGTAGACTTGTTCATTGGCGGGCACTTTTTCCGCCGCTCGTTCGTTCTGCATGACCCGGATGGTGACTCCATCTACGTCGGCCGCGGCGCCGACTGTGGCTCAAGCGTCGTTGCCATTGACGGCAAGATGCCGACCGATGTCATCAAGGGCAAGTGCAGCGAGGAGCCGGCCGCCGCTGAGAAGCCCAGCGCGAGCGCGATGGATAGTATTGCGGGTCTGACCGTAGAGGAGCTCACGGCGCTTATCGATCCCCGCATTCATAAGGATGAGGCGTAAAAAGTCACAACCAGAGTGAGAAGACTGGGAAGGCTTGGCGATGGGTTTTGAACGACGGACGCCGACGCTTCATAGAGAATTTGATGTCTGAGGAAAGGGGCGAGAACAGTCATGACCTTTTGTCCGAAGTGGAGACTTGTGATGACGTATCGTCGGACAATGCCAATCGTGATGCTTCTGTTGGTTGCACTGACGATAATTATCATGCAGGTTAAAAAATTATATTCGTGTTGTCAATAATTATCCTATAGTTAAATTGGTGTATATAAAGGTAGCTATATATAAGAGCTATAATTCAATTAAAGTGGGGCGTTTCTAGCTCCTAGCTAATAAGAATGCTGTATTTAGTTGCGTGCCTTGATACGTATGATAGCTTCCTATTAGCTGGGAATAACATCTCCAGATCTCAGATACATTCACTGTTAGAAGATAAGATGTAGTCTTGTCGAGTTTTAAGAAGACAATAATATATAAATTATGATGGTCGTGGAAGCGAAAATGGGTACAACACATCACGTGCACCAGTGACTATAGCAAAACGGTGCTGTGCCCCCAAAGTAGCAGTACTCTACTTTTCATATACTCAACTTGCTCCAAGCACCAGGTTAATGAGCTTGCCGGGCGTGGTTATATCAACACGCAGTTTTCGGATGATTAGTTTGCCAAAGTCTATACTGGCACTGGGCTTCGAGCTTCATGTCAAACCAGAGAAAAGCCCATGATGTATGTGAGAAAATATGGGGCAGATTCGAAGACGGAGCAAATTCCGAGCGAAGCTGGTTGGCTTTCTACAAGACGGTAATGCGTGGAGCCGACCCTATCTGGACAACTCGAAATCCGTTGATCAGCAAACGCCAGATCAATCACTGACAAGACAAGTTGATTGACAGAATGAATAGCGATTTCCAAAAAAAATATTTGTACTCTAACTATACTCGCTGCTACGTTTCCACGTGACTTGATCGCAGTTCGGAAGAGAGTGTAGCCGAGCGGCTGAAGGCTCGGGAACTGAAGGAGACTATGGCAATGCCGGACTAGATTCCCATAACCGCGCTATCGCATTTACACTTTGGCCATCATCGCTCACAACTTTGTGTCGATTATTGTCTCACGGGATGAGTGCAGACAACCCACGTCCGCTCTGGCCGGCGTTGTACCCGGCTGCATCTCACAGGGACTCGTCAACACCCAAACAAAGGCCGCACAAAGCCTGGCCCTTGGTTAAAAAGGTTACGCGCAAGAGTATCGCCGTTGCAGCGTGCGAGTCGTGTCGCACACGTAAAGTAAAGGTACGTATTGTGACTTGTTTTCATTTGTGGGAGCCCACAGCTACCACTAAATAAATAAGTCAAAATCGCCGCTAATATCGGGAGCTCCAAGTGCAATGCGCAGCGTCCGGCGTGCTCGGCGTGTCAAAAACGAAACGTGCGCTGCCATTACGATGCGGATCCGTCTGAAACGCCCGGGCAGGCACTGAAGAGAAAGTACAGCCAGCTACAAGAGTCGTCATCGTCTTCGACCGACAAAATCTATAAAATTCTGCAGATGCGGTCTGAAGATGAGGCTCTGGACGTCTTCCACCGCATACGGCGTGGTGCCGACCCGGACTCGATACTTCGACTCATCGAAAACGCCGACGTGATGATTGATCTTGCTGTGGCACCCGAAACGAGGTTACGGTTTGACTTTCCGTACATTGCCTCTATGCCACGCTATCTTTACGCGGCTAGCAATACTTATCTCCAGTCTCCCATCTACGATTACGCTTTTGGTGACGAGAGCCGTCAGCAGCGTGCTATAAATGCGCCAGCTGGCCAGGTTCTCAAACAAAGTATACCATTTCTTCGGCCGTACCATGCTGCTACCGTCATCGATCCGAGGCTGAGCAAGGTTAAGCCCTCGGACTGGACTGTGGTGTCGGAAAATGACCACCTCATGCGAACAATGTTGCAACACTTCTTCATGTACGAGTATCAATGGCACGCCAGCTTCCAAAAAGATTGCTTCTTGGATGACATGGTTTCGGGGGATCGACAATTTTGCTCGCCTCTTCTTGTCAACTCCATTCTGGCCCACGCCTGCGTAAGGATTGCCGGTTATTCATGTGCTAAAAAAAGTGCTTTTTTGCTAATATGAAGCAGCACAGTGCCACTGAACATCCAAATCGGGCAGAGTACTGGAATCCTCGTACATTGGGATACCTGTTCATGGCTGAAGCCAAACGTCTGTGGGACATGGAAGCCGGCAATGTGAGATTGACAACTGTGCAAGCCGGACCAATCCTCTATCTCGCGCATGCAATCTGCGGGTCAGACAAGATCGGCAGAGCATACCTGGTTCAGTCGGTGGCCATGGCGGAGAAGCTTGCAATCTCCAAGCTCGACAAGAATCGTGTGAGCGGCAAGGCCCAGGATGCAAGAGACTTCACCGCGTGGGCGATATTCATCTCCCAAATGTAAGCTTTCAGGCTTCCACATTGTTTCAATTTTGTCTCACAACCTCACAGTCACAATGAGTGGTACTTTCAGGACAGACCACTCCTGGATGAGAAGCCCGAAGTTCCTTTGCCCGATCCAAACGACAACCAAGATTGGTTTGGAGAGTTTTGGCTCAAGTATCCCTCCAGCGATGACTTGTATCCCGCTCACTTTGGCGCATCATTCAGAGGTCATGCTCTTCTTAGCGTCATCTTCAACGATATTGCGCGCAAACACTACCGTGGCCAAGAGCACAAACCGGTCTTTTCTCTTCGCGATATCCTGAGCTACTACAAAATACTGGAGAACTGGTTCGACAGCCTGCCACTGCCGTTGACACCGAAAAACATCATCTTCCCCGTGCACTTGAAGCTACAGTAAGAAGAGATAGCCCGCGCAACAGCAAAGTCGCCAGCTAACATGTTGCGGTAGCATGCATTACTACAACTCGGTCATCAGACTCATGGTCGCTGCAGACAAATTACAACAGCAGTCCATCTGCTCCATTCTGGACCGGTGGACGGCGGAAAGCACTGCACGACAGCTGCTGTCGGAGGCGATTGCCTCACTCGAGACCCTGATTCGGCTATACTACATGCGGCACAGCTTCGAGCGCTTGGATACTTTTATTGTTCAGCCGCTCGCCGAACTTGCCATGATCCGTCAAACGGACACTGGCGATGGCAACATACTCGACACGGAATCGGTGCAGTCGACAGTGGTGCTCTGCGCGCAGGGATTCCGTGACCAGGGACGAAACCATTACCTCGGGCAAGCGTTATTTCATCTGACGAGGAACAGCGTGCGTCCCAAGACTCGAGCACTGATTGACAGATATCTGTACGCGGGCCCCCAGGTTCAGGTGCCTTTGACGCCAGTGTTGGCTCAAGAGGTCCACTCCAATTGGCCCTTGAATATCATAGATGCCTCGGAAAACCCGAAGAATCAGCGACTTAGTGATGTTCTCAAAAATCTTGAGAAAATAACGCTGAATTCCTCCGCCGAAGCGTCCTAATTATCCTCCGTCACTTTCTACAATCATCTTCAGGCAGTACATGAAAGCAAATAGAAGCGTTCTCTTAGTCCATCATGCTGGTCTCGCTTCACCTATTAGTCTGAAAGACTGACTTTTCATTTCAGATTATAGGAAGATAGATGAGCGATACTCATTAGACATACTGTTTTATTAGTGCGATGTCGACAGTATAAATCCCTGTGGAGGCTAGATCCCTCGGCACAGACTCTGGCGGGCTGAACGTTGGTGGCACCCGCTGGCGCTGGCTTGCTCCAGCGTGTGATGGCGTTGTCTAGCAGTCACTGACTTGAGTCGAGCACGCCAAGTGCGCCTGTGGTTTACGACTGCCATGGAGTTTGTACAGCCGTGCCATGTGGCCAATTTCTTTTACTTTCCTTAGATATTGATGTGAGATTTTGATTGTTCCCAGATTGTAGTTTCTGATGTCAAGACAAACGGCAAGTTGTGAGGGTATGCAGGTAAAGAGTTCATGGTACTAGTTGCAGCTGCGCCACCATCTCTCGGCAGTGTCAGGCAGTGGCTGAATCGGCCTGTGGCTTGCGTCTCACAGTCAACTGTACCGTGCCAGCTGCAAGCTGCCCGCTACCAATCGCGTAGCCCGCCCTATTTACCGTGGTAGGGTGATAGATAGGTCGGTCGGTCGACGCCATCACGGACCGGATTTGAGTTTTGAGCTCGTCCGCCGCGAGTTCCTCCCTCTATCCTTGGCCGTCATCTCCCTCCCGATTCCATCCCAAGCCCTTCTCCTCCTCATCCTCATTCTCGCCCTCTTTCATTGTGCCGCCATATCGCCTCGTCGCGGCGCTCAGGCCGCCTTGGCAATTGTCTGTCACACCTTCGCATATTTTCTCCACCAGGTCGCCTTTTCCCAGGCAGCTGCTCGTGGATGTTGCCGCCCGTTGGTGATACCTCATGTCGGCTGCCGACGTCAACATGGCCAATGACAGCGGTCTTGATCTCGATGCCGATAGCCAGTCGCCCGTAGATGCCTCCCCCTCTGCGCCGCAAGAGCATGCTCGCCCGCGCAAACGCACCCGTCGAGCTTGCGACAAGTGCAGCACCTCCCGCACCCGTTGTAATGGCGAGTAGTGAGTCAACCTGGTGGCCACGAGTAAGTCACTGCAGCAATCAAAGCTAACACTTTTGCAGCCCCTGTCGACGTTGTGAAGGTAAGACAAACTCATGGCGTAGCCGCAGCCCTCCATGCGCCGTGTCACGACGCCAAATCTCTCATCTCCCGAGCCTATTCAATTACACTCAGGTGGAGACTGACGCACCCCAGATTACGGATATACCTGCCTTTATAATCGACAAGTCAAGAAGCGTGGCCGCCTGCCTGCTTCTGCCAATGCCAACCCGGTCGCCAATACCGATACCGAACCGCCCACCCAAGAAACGCAAGCTCTAGGCCAATCGTCGCCATCGATTGTCTCTCCACCCCATGCCACGGCCAATCCGGCCCCATCGTATAAACCGACTTCAAGACCGGCTTCGGAGCACACTGCCTCTCCGCTGCCAAGCGCGCGGCCGTACGAACTACCCCAGCCCATCAGCGACGCCCGCTCCCAGCAGCGCATATCCGCTGCCCTCAACGTCTCATCCCTCGTGCACCAAATACCGCCGACGCATCGATACTCTCACGGCACGGCAGACAGTCCTTTTAAGAAGCCTCGGCTTCAACTAGGGTCTGCTTCTGGTGCCGACGGCCTACCAGACCCCGAGGCGCTCGTGTCTGATGAGAGCGCCGGCTACCCATCACCCGCCAACGGCGCATCGCACAACGATCATAGCGCCGGATACCAGATATATCCACCGAGACCTTCCACGAGCAGCCATACGCCACATAGAGCATCTTTTGGTGGTACTAGTGTTGCCGAGTCAAGCAGCTACGACTACGGAACAAAAGCTCCTACTGAGGACTGCACCTACAAGTTCTTACACCCTGTCCTCCGATATATTCGCAACATAATACCAGCTTCTGTCGCATGCGACCTGCTCGAGATCTTCTTAACCGACCCTGGCAGCTCATTATTCCGTGGGGCTTCCCCCTATATCCTCACCCGAATATTTCGCAAAAAGTCAATCTTACACCCGACACAGCCTCGGCCGACCACTCCGGCATTGCTCGCTACGATATTATGGTGTGTTGCCCAGACGGCAGACGTCATGCTCCTGCACGTGCCTGGAACCAGAGCAAAAATTGTCAACGAATTATACGAGCTAGCTACCTCATTAGTATCTGCTCGTGATCCAGATCGATGGCGTCGCATCCACGGCGGCCTGCGCGCGGAGCACGAGGCTCCCCACCCGAGCCTGGCCACATCGAGTGCCGCGCCGAGACTGACAGCTGCTAATGAACCGGCAGGCGTAGTCGACGATGTCTTGACGTACATTCTCCTTTCCATCGCCGTTTCTGGGGGCGATTTCAAATCCGATAGCCACAAGTGGTGGTCCAAAGCTACAAGATTAGCCTTTTCGCTCAAGATGAACAGGGAGGATGAGCAATGTCCAGGACCACTCTCTCCATGCGCCAACCCGCTGTGCGCATGTCGTCGAGAGCAGGAACCACTTACTATTCAATCGATTGAAAATAGAGAAGAGCGTCGTCGCGTCTTTTGGCTTCTGTATAGTCTAGACAGACACTTGTCTCTGTCATTCAACACCATCCTTAGTATTCCCGACTCGTACTGCGAGGTCTACAGTAAGCGGTGCTTCTTTTCGTGCCCCGCAACTATGCTAACAAATCCAAGCACCCTTACCCGAGTATGTATGGGAGAATCTTGATTCCGTACCTTTCCATGAGATTCCCGCCCGCCATGTAGGACCGCCGACGCTGGCCTCGGGCACTGGCTTTTTTGAGTCCTTTCTTCCGCTCATGGCCATCCTTGGCGACATAATTGAGCTTCATCACCGACGACACCACCCTCGCCTAGGCGGTCTGGATGACACACACTCCATCGCGGTCATCTCTAAACTGCTGGCCGATTTCGAGCTGAGCTTGGATAGTCTTGGCCGGGATCCGCCCTCGCGCGGCTTCAGTGACTCGATGATGAGCATGAATGGCGGGCTACCCCCCATGGACACGTCACAACAGTCACATGGTGACCATTCTCGCGTTCGTCTCGTTAGGGCATACAGCACACATATTCTACATGTCTTGCACGTCCTGCTGCATGGCAAATGGGATGCCATTTCCATGTTGGACGATGGCGATGACTGGATCACTTCCAAGCGATTTACAGAGTGTGCCTCGCACGCCATTTCCGCTTCACAGTCTGTGTCGACGATTCTGACCATTGACCCGGAGCTGACCTTTATGTCATATCTCTTTGGCATTTATTTGTTGCAAGGAAGCTTTATTTTGCTGCTCTTTGCGGATCGCATGCCGCAGCTGGGGCCGAACGAGTCAGTGGAACAGGCTTGTGAGAACATAATTCGCGCGCATGAAGTTTGCGTCGTTACGCTCACTACAGAGTTTCAGGTAATGCTCAATATGTGGTTGCAATGCTCATCCTTCATCCTGCTGACGGTCCATAGAAAAACTTTCGACGAGTTGTACGGTCCACTCTGTATTCGGTTCGTGGAGCGGGAACTACGAACCTCGAAGAGCATCGGGCACGACGTAGAGCCTTATCACTGTATCGGTGGACAAAGGGCGCTCGCGGCCTCGGCCTGTAATTACCCAAGACATGTCGGAAGTGCATCAAATTGTACATGTACTCGGAGGCTACCTTGAAGTGCAAGCTGATGTTCCATTCTGCGATCCAGTCTCACTATGTGGAGAAGCACTGCTTAGCAGCAATAATGACGGAATCCTCAAACTTGGTAAACCTGCGAACATGCTTGATAGCCAGACCCGCCTCGGACAGCAGCGCACGCCAATGCGCCTCACGCCGCTCCTGCGCGTTGAACATGACCTTCATGGCAATGCTGAGCGCGGCCGTGTACTCGACCCCGGGGGCGTCTTGCGGGGGCTTGTCGTCAGACAGGCACTTGTCGTCAATGACGATGACGCTCGAGGGGCCCATGGCAGGGAGCTGGGATTGCAGGATGCGGATACAGGTGGCGTCGTCGTTGTTATGCATAATTTGCCGGAAATAGTACACGCAAGCGTCTGCAACATGCTGATGAGTCACGAGAAAGACGGATGGGAGAGATGGGGTAAGATGACATACCCTTTACAGGTTGCTCCGTCAGGTAATCATAATTCATCTTTTCCATGCCGTCCACCTCGAGTGCCTTTTCGAGTACCTCTGGCCGATCCTGCAAGATTGCTCTCCCCTTCAGTTCGGGAAACTTTTCTTTGAGGGCCGCAATTTGCTGTCCGTTGCCGCCGCCCACGTCCACGAAAACGACGTGATTGGCATAGCCGAGGCCGGCGCCACCGCCCAACTCGGAGGCAAAGTCGACGGCGTCCAGCCAGGTCGGAAGGCTGGCGAACTGGGCCTCCATAAAGCGGTGGAAAGCGCCTTGCTGCGTGGGGTGCGTCTCAAGCCATGTATAAAAGTCGACGGTAGAATGCTGCCCAACTTCAAAAGCGTTGAGTTTCTGCGACGGCGGCGAGCTGAGGACGGTGTTGAGCGCGGCAAATGCGGGTAGGCAGTTGTCGTGGCTGTGATTCACATTCTGTCAGAGGAAAAAAAAAAAAAAAAAAAGGGGGAAGGGAGGGGCAACTTGTTGGTCTTGAAGAAGAAGAAGAAGAAGAAAGCAACAGCCCAGCCCGGCCCCAGCACCTACAAGTGAATGATGGCGTCTTGGAGCAGCGGCGCCGTCATGAGCTGGGTTAGCCCGATTGCCGCATACTGTCCGCGCACCGGCTGACTGAGCATGCCCTGCGAGCCAAGATAGTCTAGAAGCGACTCGAGCACGGCGTCTTGCAGACCCGTCGCCTCCTTGAGCGCACCAAACGACACGGGACCCTGACCCTGGCCCTGCTGCGAGCCTGCGACGAGCGTAGCAAAGATGTTGTGTCTCTGCGCGATGCGCGTCGTGATCAACGGCAGAGGCTGAGAAAGGACGGGTGTCAGGATCAAGACCTCAGCCTGTGAAAAGACGGGTATATGTATGCAGTGTGACAGGGCATACTGCTGCTGTGTTTTTTTTTTTTTTTTTTTGCCGTATTTTGATGTGCAGGGGTGGAGGGGAGATTGGGGGAGGGGGAGGGAGGCGGCAAAGGGGCTTACAGAATAGGCAAGACGCTGGACCGTCTCAAAGGGCTCTTCTAGAGCGACAGACGCTGCGCGCGTCAGCTGCTTCAGCTGCTGTCTTGTGGTGTCGTCGATGGCTGCCGCGGCCGCAAAGCGTTTGGGGTCGGCGACGATGGCTTGGAGCTGCGCAATGAGAGCGTCGACATCCCCGATGGGTGTGAGTGACGATGGGAGTGCCATGCTGGCTTGTCTCGGGGGCGGTGGTACTATGGGCCTGCCTGTTCAGCTTCCGACAAAATCTGTGAGGGGTGTGTCGTTGATTCTCGTGATTCGAAAGTTATTTGTTGTTGTCCATTTTGGGGGTTTTTTTTTGAGTGTATCTGGTCAACTCAACAAGTAGTTATCCTTTTTTCCCTTGCTGGAAAAACAATGTCTCACTTTCTCGTCTTGGAGGCAAAAGCAAAAAAAAAAGAAAAATCACAACTAGCAGACAGACAACTCAACAATGGCACTATATTCTGCTCTATTCGCATTTCGCATTATATGGATACTAGTTACGGATAGGGTGAGACAATAAGGTGGGCCCTAGTTAGGGCAGTATTACTATCTGCGATGAAGGAGAGTTTTGCTTCGGGATAGGGGATGGGTTTGATACGTTCTGGCAACACGTAGCGGGAGTCGGGTTGTTGCTTGCTGGAATCTTGCGAAATCGAGCGACTATTTATTACAGTTTGGATGCAGTAGGACTATAGCCAGCGTCCGCATTCCCATGTTATGGCCTAATTACTTGTGGGTAATGCAAGATTGGCGAGATTAGACGGTAGACAGGAGGCACAGCGGCGAGGGGGACCTCAGTTGCTGGTTCACTAACATAATAAATAACGGGGGGCGGTCGAGCACCATAAACGACTGTCTTGGAGAGGCTGGAATATTTTCACCCACGGGCCGTCGACGTCTCCTTTCTCTCTTTTACCTCGTAAGACAGCACTGACAGGTTGACAGGATGGCTTACTCCGTACCCGTAGTTAGTGGCTAGTTTGAAAGGCCATTAGCCCCCCCTCTACAAATAGCCCGGTGCTCCTGGAGCATCGTCAGGTCACAATTGAAGGTTGTATGGCCTCAAACGGGACGGGACGATCCATACTCCAGAACCCATGACGGCTCCGTAGTACGGAGTTGCTGGGGGCGGGGGCGACTAGCTGCCGCCGGCTGGCCTGGTATCGTCTCGCCTAGCCACCTACAGCCCACGCCCTTTCACAATACATCATCAGTTGCCCTCCCCCCCAAAACCTCCAACTGTGTGCTGAACGAGTCTGAAAATGCAAGTTTGGTGTTAGTTCCAGGGGGAGCGACGTTTCGGTCGCCTAGGCAGAAGCAAACCTTTTGACTCGAAATCACAAAGATGAAAGCAGAATGCAAGGCAAGGGGAAACTACTTTGTGTGTGTGTGCGTGTGGCACGTGTCACTGCCAAAATTCATACTCTTTTTAACTTGGTGTTGTTACTTTTTGTCGCCCCCAAGGATCTGCAAGCCACTGATCAGCCACTTATGCGCGCGTGTTCCGTGTCCGTAGATCCAGAGGATCAACGTTGTTTCTATATGTAGATCCAGTGGAGCAACTTTGGTGAGTAAAACCAGATACTTGCCCTACTATTTTCGGTGAGCCTGAAGTTGTCTAAATAGAGTAGCCTAGATGCTTCCTGACTTTTGACAGGCCAGCTTGGGATGCGCGCGGTTTTGCCGTCTCTCTCAAGCGGTTTGCCGTCTCTCTCAAAAAGCCAATCGTAGCGAAATTGAATTGAACCCCCTTTGACTAGCTAGAGATGGGATTACAGAATACTTTGCGCTGATGCAAACCTGTAAACACGGGGGTTACTCTTTCTTTGCCCTCGTGCTCACTCTCTCTCTCTCAGAACGGCACGCAAAAGCACAACATGTAAAGAAGCTAACCAGAATTATGGGCGCGGAAAAGAAGCAACGACGCGAGTCTCCATCCCCCTCCCCAGGGTTTCACGAAAAACCCATCAGCGGTTATTGACCGAAGAAGCAATATGATGTTAGAGCACCAACTAGAGCGCGAGTCCGTTTTTTTTTTGCTTCTGTCTCCCAAGGTCTACGGTGGAAATATTTCTTAAAACAAGGCGTTTTTTCCAACAACGCGACGTCAGCTCTCTCGTGTGACCATGTCTTTTTTGCTCGCTTCGGGGATGACGACTGCAGACTCAAAAACCTCGCGAGTAGAATTTCTGTATTTCCATTTCTGAAAAGAACAAAAAAAATAACAACTACATCTGCCTGTTATTTGCAAAAAAAGCCGCCCAATTATGGGTGGTCTTGAACCAAGGGGTGGTGGTGGTGGTAATGTTGGAGGAGATCGTGGCCCCGTACTCATCCGCATACTTTGGTCGCTGACGGCGCTGGCTGGAATCACGGCTGCGCTGCGCGTCGTCGTTCGCGTTCGCAACCGCATGTTTGGATGGGATGACATTTTTATGATACTTGCCATGGTATGCCGCGCCTCTTCTCCATGTTATCGAGATGTGAAACTATGTTTTTTTTTTCTCCTTTACCATTTAGTTTGCTGACAGATTTCCGTTGCGGGTGGGTTTTGGTCGGGCATTGCAGCTATGCTTCCTAGGATGGACCATTGTCCTGACCCTCTACGCGCAAAAAGGCGGATCGATGCATATCCAGCACGTCGCCGAGACGGGACCCGACAACGTCGCCAACGTCTTGTTTTTGAATTGGCTCAGCCAAGTGTTTGGCATCCTCGGGGTCGCGGCCGGCAAAATCTCCGTCGCCGCCCTGCTGCTCGCCATTATCCGGCTGACGGAGCTGCGGTGGCAGCGCGTATTTCTCTGGATCGTGCCGGTGACGCTGGCCAGCCTCGTCGCCATTGCCTGCTCGACGCTGACGTTTGCGCAATGCACGCCGGCCAATGCGCTCTGGGATCAGCGGGTTATTGGGGGCAAGTGCATCGACCCTCATGTCATGTCTTCGTTTGGAACCTTTACCGGAGGTATGGCCAAATAAATACCTTTTGGACTCACTCTCTTCTCCCAAAACAATATGACCAGTTTCTTCTCTAACGAGTTTCACACAGCCTTTAATACCTTTACCGACGCCAGTCTCGCCATCGTGCCCGCCACCATATTCTGGCAGCTCACCAACAAAACGACCGAAAAGATGCAGCTCACCATAGTCTTTGGCCTCAACATCCTCACCTCCATCTGCTCGGGCATCAAAACCCAATACCTCGCAGAGCTCGCAAACCGCACCGACCAGACGTGGGCCACCTATGACATTTTTGTCTGGGTCACCGGCGAGCTGTTTCTCATGATTGTGTGCGGCACCATTCCCACGCTGCACGCGGTGCTCACATGGCTCCGCAGGGCCGCGAATCGCTTCAAAAGTTTTTTGGTAATAAAGTCGCTGGACCAGAATGATCCTCATGTTGGTTCGCGCAAGGCTAGTGCGCCGCTGACTTTGGACGGCGATGACGACAAGGACAAGGACAAGATTGAGGCGGAGCAGCTCGCCGAGCTGCGCGCCAGGGCGCATCTCTCCATCAAGACGAAAACGACGGTTGAGAGGGTTGATTTATACACTGACAATAGTGACGGGCTATTCGAGGATAAAAATGGCGTGCGGGTGGACATGATGTACGACGTGCGGCGAGAGAGCAGACCAAACTCGGCGGTGCCGCCTGCTGAGCGACGTGGAGACCACTCATGAATGAAACATTGCACGGTAAACAGGATGGTTTATATCACAAGACATTAATAACTTCAATGTCACTACGACTTTTATATTTCTAGCATTTACGTGGAGTAATATCTTCCAGGTAGTTCAGTTCACAAAGCTCCAAGATGGAGAGCAGGCAATAGCATCCATCAACCGTCAATGGCTGATGCACTTGATGCCCATGTCGAGCCGAATTTCAACCTTGTCATTATTCATCGTTCTGCAAACTAGTCTCCAACTCCTGTATTCTCTGCAAACTCCACATCGTCGTCCCATGCTTCTCACCCAGCGTCATCTCCTGCCCCTCCCACGCCCGTCGATGCTCCTCCAGCGCGTCCCGCCTCCTCCCCGCGCGCTCATACATGATGCCCAGGTCGTTCCGCGCCCACAGTGTGTCATTGTGATGCTTCCCCAGCGTCTCATCTCGCAGGCGCACCGACTCCGCCTGCAGCCGTAGCGCGGCATCCAAGTCGCCCATGTCGCTCCGGCACTTTGCCACATCGCTTAGATCCCAGAGCGTGTGCGGGTGCTCAGCACCGATGAGTCTTTCCCGTATGGTGTGGACCTGTTCGTGCAAGACACAGGCTTCGCGAAAGCGGCCCTGCTGCCGGTAGCAGCGCGCCAGATGTGCTTTTGTCCAGATGACCTGCACGTCAGTGTCGGGCAGCGCGGGCTGGAGAATGCGCAGCGCTTCCAGGTGCATCTCCTCCGAGGACGCGTAGCTGCTCTGGTGACGGTACAGCCGGCCAAGCTCATTAATTGTCAGCACCCTGTCTAGCTCCCCGCAGAGGCCAGATGCATCCAGGATTGCCAGGGCTTCGCGCTGTGTCGCGATGGCTAGGTCGACATGGCCGGCCTGGTCGTGAAGAATGCCCACGCCGTTGAGGAGCCAGACACTGTCGTGCGGCCGCGCGCCTGTAACGCGATCCAGACGCTCCCTGCTGGCGACCAAGTGGCGGATGCCGTCGTCGATGCGACCGGCTGCCGTGTAGAGGCGGGCGAGGTCCCGGATAATCATCATCATGTCGGAGCGGCTGATGGGCACGGCGGGTTGGGACTGGATGCGCGCCTCGTCGAGCGCAGCGAGGATAACCACCATGTCCTCGAGCTCGTCCATCTTGAGCCCATCACCGTCGCTGTATTCTTCCAAAAGACACCGCACCTGGCCGAGTATGCCAATCATGGCCTGCGTGGGAAAGGCCTCGCGGCGTAGAAGAAGCCAGTGCATGAGCCAGGCGCGGCGCTTCTCATCCGACGACAGAAATCGCACTGCCTTTTGGTGGAGTGACGCGTCTAGCTGCGCATCCACGAGATGTTGGCACCAGTACAAGGTAGCGTACGCCTGTAGAGGGTATGCGCATGCGTCTGGGTCGACCTCGTGGTTTCCAATTTGCATCAGGTAATCTAGCGTAATCTTGGCAATGCATTGATTTCCAGTCGCAAGATGGAACGGCAGCCCAACGCAGGGCGAATCGTCCGTCGGCGCCGTCAGGAACTGATGCACCGAAAGATATGCAGGCCGAAAGGTATCCCTTTCTGCATCATGCTCGATGAACGGCTGACATACCCTCAGAACAGCCGCTTTGTACGGACGCCGACCTTTGCTGCCTTGAACATCTGCCCCGTCCGGCTCAAGAGATAGACTACACTGCAGCTCCGGCCACGTCAGCGGTCGTGGGCTGCACACGACCCGCATGAAGACGCCCCGCGCCAGGGTCTGCACACGCTGCGGCTCCTGGGCCAGTTTTGCCAACCTCATGGCGTAGTATTGATTCAGAGAGCCGGGATAGGCGGCGGCGGCGGCGTACAGGTCGTTGAGGCACGTTGCCGACTGCAGCTCGCCGGTGAGGAGACGAGCGCAGAGGAACATGCCGTCGGCGCCGCCGCACAGTTGACTCAGCAGCGCGCGTCTCTCGTCAGCTGAGAGTGCTGGTACGTTAAGGTTGTTGATGACGTTGGTAAAGTAGGCCTCGATATCTGGCCGTGTCAGGTCCGGCGTTACAGTCATGGTGACGAGATCGAAAGCGGCCACCTTGTCACGGATCCACGGTGCGTCCGTGCTGAATAGTAGAGTGCGGCATTGTTGTGACTGGAGTAGGCTCAACAGCTCGCTCAGTTGTCCCTCCATACCCTTGCACTCATCTAGTCCATCCAGCAGCATGTAAGCCGACGTGGCCGCGGCCAGCACCTGCTCCAACAAGTACGCAGGTCTGTCTGACCACGTCATGCACCGTCGACCGTATTTCTTGGACACCTCAAACGCCGGCCGTATACACGCCGCGCACGACGGTAGCTGCGCAATAAACTGCGCCAGCACGGTCCGGTACATGGCCAGCGCCGTGTTACGGCTGTCGTCCCTCTCGTCAAAGAAGAAGTGCGCCACGACCACACCGTCGGCAGCGACATCATCCCTGAGCTTATCAATCACGGAGGCGCAGAGCACCGTCTTGCCCATTCCCGCGCTGCCCATGACCCATCCCATACGCGGCTTTGCGTCGTCGAGCCACGTCTTGAACGCGGCGTGCTGGAATATCCAGCGGCTGGTGTCGGGCGCGCACATCTGCCTTCCGCGTCGCCAGTCGTCGTCATAATCAACCGGCGCTAGCCAAGAGAGCATGTCCCAGTCAAGCTTATCCTGCAGAGCCTGCGTGGACTGCGCACGGAACTCCTCCTGCGTCTTCATATGGGTATGCGCGACATCTCTGTGGATAAAGGTGCTTAGCTGGTCGAGGTGCTCGAGGCGGCGGCTGAGGCGCTCAGTGATTGTGTCAAAGTCTTGCTCAAAATTGGTCCAGACGCGGCGCAGCCAGGCCGTCACGCTTCCTGATCAAGTCAGCTTGTGCATATACTGTAAGCGAAAGAGTGACAAGCGACGCACCATTCGCACGTAATGCGTCGCGCGCTTTGCGGAGGAATATGAGAGCATCCATGTAGGTGTCGGACAGGGCGGCCATAAAGTCGGTGTGTCCATCAAAAAGTGCGTCGTAGCGGCTATATAGGCAGAGTTGAGTGCCAAAGCGCTCGACAAGACGAAGAAGGTCGGTAAAGAAGAAGGATACGGACCGGCCGACCTAGACAATCATTTTCAGTCGGCAACGCAGAGCAGAGAAGCCGAGTACTGCGCAGTCGCAGTCAAACAGAAAGTCACCTTCAATATGACACGCAAGCATCCCCATATCAGACACGACGGCGCGCCAAAATTCTGCACCATCATGTCCACGGCGTTTGAATAACGATCGATAAAGCTAATAAAGGGCGTGAGTGCGCCAAGCCCGGCGGCGCCGCGAGGTGTTGGACCATGGACACCGAGGAGCTGGATCTCGAGCAGCACACCCTGGACGGTAGAAAACTTGTATTCATGCAGTTCGGCGTCGTCTATCGTGGACATGTACTGCGTAAGGGAGCTTTGTGAGGATTTGAGAGGCGGAAAGGGCTTGTCGCTGGACATGGTGAAGCTTTACAGTGTTGTAGGCGGACAATTGCCATCTTGCTACGATAAAAAAAGATGAGAATAACAATGTAACCGTCCGCCCGAGACACTCAACAGCGTCCTATAACAGAACTGTATGTAGACATGATAATTGCCGGTACGTGGAAAAAGGCGGCAGTGGCCCAGCCAAGGGAATCCGTTGGGCATTGACAGCCCAGACTTGGAAATATAGACACTATACCTATTCAGTTACAATGAATACAAATTGTACATGTAGGTGGGTGGGCGTTTCCTGCCCTCGCGCCAGGCTCCCTCCCGTCTCATGCAGGCTGTCTGTGATGAGAGGAAAGAACCAGCCAAGCTGCACGTCTGTGCTAATAATAAATAGACGCAAGTCGGCAGAGCTGAACCGCTCCTACCTGCAGCACAGAGCGGGGGAATACATGCACAATTAAATGAAGCGGGAAAATTACAAAGGCAGCTTTCACTCAAGATTGGTTCGCAGCGCAAGGCGGTTGGCGGACTGACGTGTCGCCCGTCTGTCCTTGACTGGTAGGTACGTTTCTGCCGCCAGAGGCGTTTTCTTCCTCGAAACAGACTGCCACACAAAGTTATGAAAGAGGGGAAAGCTTGATCCTCGCTAGCAAGGGTGAATGAAGCGCATGTCATGATACCTCACACAGTGGGCATCTGCTCCCTTCCTTACCGTCCCATACTCGCGCACGCTAAAACCACAGTTCACCAAAATGGCATCGTCGTCGTCCTCTGCTGCCGATGCTGCCGTCCCGGCGAAACGGCGTGCGCCCGTGTACCGCGTCCGCGGCGTGCCGCCTGAGCTCGATCGGGCCAGCCTCCTTGCGCTCCTCGAGTCACACAAAGACCTGTCGGGCTGCGGCCTCGGCATCCACACGCTCGCGGCGGACATAGGTGGCAGCCAGACGGCGACGATATTATTTGCCCAAAACAAGATCCCACCACGCCTCGCGGCCCTGGAGCGGCGTGGCGCGCTCGCCGTGGAGATTGTCGTGAATCCTACGCCGAAGAGTGCGGGGGCTAAGCGTGAGCGCCATGGGCCGCAGGCAGCCAATATGCGCATCGACGCGCTGTTACTAGGCCTGACGACGCTGTATACGCCGCCAAAGAAGAATCATCACTTTGACGTACTCGCCGTCCACGGCCTGGGCGGCTCGCACCCGTACGGCTCCTTCGTTAGCTATGATGATGGCCACATGTGGCTCAAGGACGACCTGCCGCGTATGATCCCCTCTGCCCGCGTCATGATTTACGGCTACGACACCAAGCTTCCCAAGAACCCCGATTGCGCCAAGCTGGTCGACCTCGGCGGCGGCTTGCGGCTTGCCATGGTCGGCCTGTGGCAGGACGCGCGACCGGCATCAACGAAGCCGCTCGTGCTCGTCGGACTCAGCCTCGGCGGCCTGCTAGTCAAGGAGGCGCTTATTCAGCTGAGCCATTCGAGCCTGTGGTCGTCAGAGCTAGGCACGGTAAGAGGCGTGCTACTGTTCGGTGCCCCAAACGACGGCATGAACATGAAGTCGTTGTGGCCCATTGTCCAAGACAATTCAAACCGGCTCCTGCTTGACTCGCTCAACCCCATCAACCCAAATGAACTCATCAACCAGAAACCCGCGTTCGCACGGCTGCTGCGTCGCGCTAGCCTCGAGCTTTTCTGCTTCTGGGAGCAGCTGCCGTCTCCGGTCGCGCGAATGACACCCAGCGGCAGCGACAACAACTACAGCATGGACGGCGAGCCTCAGTACATGGTCAGCAAGGTCTCAGCCACCAGCTGCCTTCCACCCGGCGCGCCGTCGGAGCGCGTCGTCGGGCTACAAACCACCCACTCGGGTCTCGTCAAGTTTCGTTGCCACGATCCCGAGTTTGAGAAGGTGAAGCCGATCCTCATCCACATGTGCGACCCCTGCCGCGGCGCAGCAGTGGCTGACAGTCTCCCGTTGCTGACCCCCGCCGAGAAGGCGTGCCAGGCCGCACTGTCCTTTGCGCGGCGCGAGACACCCGACCACGAGATCAAGGACGCCGTCGCCGGCACGTGCGAGTGGCTATTTGCCCACCAAGAATACAAACTCTGGCACAGCTCCCCCAAGGGCCTTCTCTGGGTCAAGGGCATCGCCGGGTCCGGCAAGTCGACGCTGCTGCGGTACACCCTCGGCCGGATCAAGGCCCTGTCCAGCGCTGGCGAGGCGCCGATCGTGCTCGACTTCTTTTTTGACCGCCAGGGAAACAAGCTGCAGAAGTCATCGCGGGGTCTCTTTCGGTCGCTGGTGCACCAGGTGCTCACGCGCGCGCCGCGGGCGTTGGCCACCTTTGTGGACGCCTTTCAACGGCACAGCGCCGCGGAGCAGCCGGTGCCCGACGACGCGACCAAGTGGTCCGAGTACGACCTGAAAGCCGCGCTGCGGTCGTCACTGGCGGCCGTGCTACAGGAACGGCCCGTGTGGCTACTCATAGACGCGCTGGACGAAGCCGACGACGAGGCAACTGCCGTCGGCGTCGTGGACGAGTTCAAGGCCCTGCTGGACCGGGTCTCGGACGACGGCTTTCCGCTGCGCATCTTCTTCACTGCGCGGCAGCACCTCGTGCTCGACGGCGATTACGGCTTCGAGATCACGGTCCAGGGGAACAACGAGGCCGACATTGCGACCTTTGTAGCAGCACGGTTATCCACGAGCCGGTCCCTAAAGGAGTCGAGCATCGGGGAACTGATCACGGAGCGCGCCGCTGGCTTGTTCCTGTGGGCGGCGCTCGTCGTCGACAGGGCGCACACAATGCACCGCCACGGCAGAGGGCTCATGAGCATCCGGCGAATGATCCACGGTACGCCGGCCAAGCTGGCCGCTCTGTACCGCCAAATGCTGGACGAGCTGGCCGCGGAAGAGCGGCCTCTGACCCGGAAGCTGTTCCAGTGGATGTGCTTCGCCGAACGACCGCTGAAGGTGAATGAACTGAAATGGGCCCTGATTGTTGGCGCGGAAAGTTTGATCGAGTCGTGCACACAGTTTGAGGACCACGACGAGTTTGACAGCGACATGGCGACGCGCATCGTCTACATCAGCCGCGGGCTTGTCAAGACCGAGCCGAAGCGGGCAGACTCCTCGCCATCGGCCCAGCACTTTGTGCGCTTCATCCACCAGTCCGTCGTCGACTTTCTACTCAGGGAAGGCGGTTTGGCGTCCATGCACGACGGCCCAACGCTGGCCAGCGCAGACATCGCTCGACTTGCACACTACCAGCTGTCCAGAACCTGCATCCGGTACTTGCGGATGAAGAAGATAGCTCAGCTCCCAGCCGAAACTTTGCAGGAGTGGGCCGAGTCGGGAACGCTATGGTCAACATTTCCCCTGTTCGAGTACGCCTCCGTGGCGTGGCCCTCGCACACCCAGCGAGGCCACCAGCATCGTCTCGTCAGCTCCATGGGCTGGCCGTCCGATCCATTTTTCAACCGATGGCTGCGCATCTACTGTAGGGTGTGGTCAAGGAAATATAACCGATCTCGTTGCATCATGGACCAATTAAAAGAGTGGTCCTACTTGTTCCGCTGTCCACCCGAGAATATCGACGTCGGTCATTTTGCCGCCCAGTACGGGCTGACAGAACTGCTTCTGGAGGCGCTGCCGCCCAGGGGCAGGGTGGCCGTCGACACTCGAGACTACTTTGGCCGGACGCCGCTCTTCTACGCCGCCTTGAACGGCTACGGGAGACTTGTGGCAGCGCTGCTCAACACTGGTGCCGACCCCTGTGTCAGGGACAACAAGGGGCGCGACGCGCTGTCTTTTGCCGCGCAGTGCGGCCACGCGGACGTTGCCAGCGACCTCCTCTCCAAAGGCGCCGGGGTCAACGCGCGCGACGACACCGGCGTCACCGCGCTGCACTGGGCGGCACTGGGCCAGGACCGGAAGACCATGCGGCTGCTTCTGTATTGGGGAGCTGACGTCGGAGCCAAGGCCAGAAATGGCAGCACGCCGCTGGAGTGGGCGATCCTGGTCGGACACGAGCGGGGCGTGGCAAGGCTCCTCGCGGCAGGGTCGGCGGTGAACTACTCGCACGGGGACTGGCGCTTCACAATTGGCCTGGACCCGTGGGTCAACTATGTCTGTGAAGAAAAGGGCATTCTCAACATCAACTTGGTCGATGGGGATCTCCGTGATCAGCGCACTAGGATGTGGACGCCGCTCTCCCTGGCCGTGCGCAAGGGGATTGTGGCCATTGTCAAGCTGCTGCTGGATAAAGGTGCTTCACCGGACCTCGCGGCAGAGTCTGGTTCGTTGCCGCTGTCTTTGGCCAGGGAGCTGGGCAATGAGGAGATTATTAGTCTGCTCGAGGCAAGGGCATCAAAGTCGAAGGAGCTAAGCATTAGGCTGGGCTCTAATACGACAATGTAGACTAAACCTTTGATTATAAGCCAAAGATTTAACATGATTTCAGTAAAAATGATTCTTGACTTATCCGCAATTGTTGTACGTACCAGGAAAACTGTGGCGAGCAATTCCCCCACCATGATGGTCAATCCCAGCTATCCGCAAGCAAAACTTGAGATCTACAGCAAGAGGAGTGTTCCCTCGTAGCTGCAGTGATAAGGCTTCTTGACAGGTGGCCGACGTCAAGTGACGCGTGGATGAAAAGAAGAAGAACTAAAGGTAGAAAACCCTTGACATCGGCCATGTGATGCAGCCTCGTCGCCTCGCTCCGACACAACCCCACGTCCCCGTCGCAAGACAAATTTAGCTTGTTTGACCACATCGGTTTTCTGTTTCTCGGATTGCGCATCAATCGAAAAGGGGTTGCCGCGTATTGCTGGACCAACCGTCAGGCAAAAATGAGAGGCGGGCTTCGCATGTTTTCTGATGCTTGGTGTGCTGGCAGGCAGAGCCTCCACGCTGACTCAGCATGGACGCCATCCACATCGCCGTTCCCTCCAGACAGCCCCGTCTCCTCTTTCTTTCCTCATCATCACGAATATACCTGTTTTCCCTGCTGTTTGCCAGTGATCCGACCGGTCGTGATACTTCTCTCCGTCTCTCTCTCTCTATGCCTTTCGCTCGATTCGCCACGCGGTGTGACGGCGGCAAGTCGCCAATGCTCGGCAAAGCAAGCAACTCTTCCCTTGCTGTCTGTTGATGTAGCGCTGGCATTTCTTATGCTTCTTTGCCCTTCAACTCCTCACTCGCCAGGGGGGTTGGCCAAGTCCCCTTGCGCCACCACTAAGATTCTTGAAAAAGCGGCCGGCGAAACTTGGTTTTTGTCGCATCTGTATCTCTGCTCAAGGCTCTTTGAAACATCATAATCATGGCATGTCCAGAAATCACATCGCTTCTTTCACAGGCGTGTTCTACTCATGTAATGTATCCTACCTGCTGCGTCGTCCCTTCAGAATGGACGGCTATGTATCCGGCGGCAGCGATCTGGTAGAGTCTTCGACCAACGCCACACTCGACACTGGCTCCTCACTCTTGATAGTCCCCGACGCAATCCCAAAGGCGTACCGGGCTATGTCCAGAACTCAAGCTCCTCCTACGACGGCAGCACGCTAGTCTTCAGCTACTCCTGCAGCGAGACGGAGAACCTGCCTGACTTTACCGTAGCCCTCAGCAGCCAGCACATCACCGTCCCCGGTCTAAACGGACTTTGAAATGCAGGCTTGTAGCCGACCCAGATTTAGAAAATTCCAGCCATCTCGCTAACATTGTTGCGTGTATGGCAAAACACTAGCGGCCCGGCTCGCGCACTCTTTAGCGCCTGTCTCCGACCACTCGTTCGGATCTATCGCAGTATTTGAAGCAGTCTGCGCTTTCGAGCCAGCGATTTAAGAATCTTGTATCTGGCGTAATCGCCGCCCGCTATATACCGACTTTTCGAAAGGGGGGAAACCTTTCCGTCTGGCACTATCCTAAATCGGCAGGTCGGCGAGCTGATATAAACTAACCAACCTCGCCGCCTGAGCCGATTCGCATGGACCGCCAACTCCACACACCAACGAGTCCACACACAATGATGTGGCAGCCAAAGCAGAAGGTCAGAGAGCTGATTCTCCCAAGTCGAGGGTTCCGCCCCTGTCAGCAGCCCTTTTCTCTAGCCGCCATAGATGAAGATCCGAGGGAAAGCTTCCTTATTGGTTCTCTTTAGGCAGGTCCCCGATCCGGGCTGGGGCCGGACGACCCCCCGGTGCCATAAAATGCTGACGCGGTAATGGACATGTGCAATCGAAAGCGCAACGACTTGTGATGTATAAAACCGTGCGCGCTGGCCCGGTCCCTTTGTCAATGGCACTCTCTATCCTGTCGTTCGGCTGTCGACCCGCCGTAGCACAGTCGAGCGCACTCTTTTCGCCAGTATGCCTAGCATCGCGACAGTCTTGGGCTTCGCCTCTGTGGCGAGCGCCCTCGCCGTGCGGTCGGCCTCAATCCAGGGTGCCAACGAGTTCACCATTCCCATGCGGTACAACCCTAATTTCAAGCCGCCCACTTCCAGCCCAGATGCCGTCCGCCGCCGCCGTGGCAGCCCCGACGACGGCGGTGGCATCACGCCAGCGCGCGACAGCCCGACGCGGCCGGACCAGGAGTACTACGCCGAGATTGAGGTTGGCACGCCGCCGCAGACGATGAATCTGCTGTTTGATACCGGCTCGGCGGACCTGTGGCTGTTTGGCGCCGACGCGGCGGGCGCCGTCGAGCAGGACCAGAACCGGTGGAACCACAGCAAAAGCTCAACGGCGCAGCTCGTCGACGGCGCTGCATGGAGCATCCACTACGGCGACGGATCGGGCGCCAGCGGCACAGTGTATCGGGACGTCGTGTCCGTCGCCGGGCTCGCGATCAGCGGCCAGGGCGTCGAGTACGCCAACGCGGTCATGCCGCAGTCTAGCGGCATTGATATTCTCGGGAGCCCCGTGTCGGGCATTGTCGGCTTCGCCTTTGACAAGAAGAATAAGGCCAGGCCGCAGCAAAAGACGCCGTTTTCCAACATGAAGAGCCACCTGGCCAAGCCCGTCTTTACCGTGGACTTGAAGCACCAAGCCGGTACGCACGACGTTTCCGCCTTGTTTTCCCCGCCTCACTTTTCCTCTGGCTGTAATTGCCGACTAATCAATCCAACTTTACAGACGGTACTTTTGGCTTTGGCTTCGTCGACTCTTCCAAGTACACCGGGGACCTGACATACAGCAGCATCAACAGCGCCACCGGTTTTTGGACCTTTACATCTCCCGGGTACGCCGTCAACGAGGGCGCCTTTGCCGCGTACGACATGACGGGCATCATCGACACGGGCGGCTCCACGTCCACCGTACCCAGCCCGGCGTTCAAGGCCTACACGGACGCCATTGCCAACTACACTGAAAAGTTTGACTGCGGCACCGCGCTGCCCGACTTTTACTTTGGTGTTGGCAACAACAAGACAATCAAGGTGGACGGGCTGCACCTTAAACAGACCAATGAAGATGGCAGCTGTCAGCTCAAGTTGTACGACGGCGGCAGCGGCAACTATGCCTTTTTTGGCTCTCCGTTTATGGCGGGTGCGTATGTTGTGTTTGAGGATGGCGCCGATGGTGCGCGGGTTGGCTGGGCCAACTCTGCGTAGGTGGTGAGGTGAGAATGGGCTTAATGAGATATGTTGTACATGAAGCATTATAAGATTTGATATAGAAAAGCACTGGCATAATGAGTCAATGGGGCAATGAGGACACTGGCTTCTCTAAGCTTCAATGTACCTCTGCCTGGTCTGCGTCACGTTGACGATGGGCTGCGCCGGTAGCACAGGGTCGCAATCCTGAGGGTCATACATACATGATAATTCTCCGATACTGGTGAACAGGGATAGGAAAAACTACATTTTGAAAACTTCGATAATCTCTCTGATTGCTACAAAGTACAAAATACTGCTTAGAACTGTCAAGCGGGACGAGCATGTATCTCGAATGCTTCCAGTCCGCCCTAGTACTCGTCATCCTCGGCGGCGCCGTCCAGTACGAGCGCAGTCAATGGGCGGGATGTAATGCTAATAATAGACTACACCACTGCATGTCTCACGCGCTGTCAGCTGGTAGACTGCACTGGTGGTCGATACGACCATTGGACGGGAATCGTCTAGTTTGTAGTTGCCCTACTGCAGCAGCCCGGCTATGCGGCTTCCATAAACCAGAAGTTGCGTTGTTCTCAGTCCCGGGAAATAGATCTTGGCAACTATGCTAATATAAAATGGTCCAGGCTCTTCGTGGCCATCCATCAACTGTACAGCACAAAAAAAGGCATAAATGACGTCTGCCCCGTGGCTGGTGGCGCGGAATCGCCGCTGCTCAATGCAACGCAGCTTCCTTTCTTTGCCTCCTCCCCTCGAAACTGGTGCGAGGGGAGGCGAGCAGGCGACAAGTTACGCAAAAGGCAAACTGGCAAACAAAATCGCCACCGAGGAGAGATGGGCCGAAAAATAAATCTCCGAGATACGAATCATGTTTTTTTTTTTTTCAGTGTATATTTTGAGACGGCCAGCGCAATCATTGTTTTCGCTGTAGGGTTGATAGTGCGGCGGTGCAAAAGAGCTGGCTGGCTGATCAAAGGGGGGCAAAAAGCCTACACATATCTCGTATTCTGGAGCCTCTCGTTTTCAAAACTTGCCATCGGCGCTTTTCTGATGGGAGGCTGAGCGAGGACAAGCGAGCGGCCAGCGCACATTGCATTGTTGGTACGAGATTGTGACGCAAGCAAGTAGTCCCTAGAAAGGGATCGGTGGCACTGGCGTGAAATCCGAGTGCTGGGCAACTGACTTTGGGACGTTGACCACGGCCTTTTTTTTTCTTTGTGTTGCAACTTGGATAAATAGGCATGATTGTCTGGGTGAATTTCTAAACATCATTGTCGTCTGCAGTCACAGCATCATCAGCCCAACCACTCCTACGACGATAACAATACGACGACAACAATCTAGTCACAAGCTTCTGCCTCGTCTCGAGAACACTACCACTACCACAACACGTCAAACAATAATGCAGTCGCTTCTCGCTCTTGGCCTTGCAGCCCTCGCCACCGCTTCTCCTCTCCCGACATTCTCAGAGGGTTTCAAGCTGCAGATCCTACTCGACCACCCCTCGCAAGACTTTACGCCGCCCATCCACAACAAGTACGTCGTCGGCGTGCCCATTGGCGCGGGCTGGGCCATGGTGACGCCGGCTCCGCACCACACCGAGTATGCCACCTTTCACACCAACGGCACCGACGCGGACCTGTGGGCGGCGCGGGGCACCGTGGTGGCGGGATTCGGCCGGTACGCGCAGAGCTGGCGGACGGAGCGCAGCGCCGACGACGACGGCGCGAACTTGTGGAGCGCGATGCTGCGGTATGGCGGGGCACCCGGCACCGAGGGCGTGCGCGTCATTGACCAGAGGGGGGATCTGATGCTGGGCCCCGGCCAGTACATGGTGTGCGATCGCAGGCTGCCGTACGGGCTGGCGGTGGAGTTGACGACGGGCGGCGCGGCGGTGCCCAGGGAGTGCGTGGCGGTGAGGCTGCTGCCCGTGTGCACGGAGCTGCAGGGGCCGGCGGATCCGGAGGAGCGACAGGGGCAGACTGTGAGCCGCACGCGCTGCAAGAACAACTAATGGTGAAGAAGAAGGGGGAGCCAGAGACACATTGTTGAGGTTTTACCTTGTGTGTGTGTGTGTGTGTATGTGTGTTGCAAAAGTAACGAGGATACGAGATTCGCGAATACCTACATCATTTTCTCTTTATTGTTACGTCCAGTGTTGAGTGGTGCCGTGTCAACGGAGAGTAGCAACTTTCCTGGGCAGCTCCGGAGGGCATTGTGATTATCTCGCTTTCGCAAGATATGGTTGAGTAACTCGAAAGATTTTCAATATATATATTGAAAAAAAAAAGAAAAAAAAAAAAAAAACTGTCAAGATGAATCCAGTGTATAAACAACCACATGCGTTTTCCGCCGCTTCATCTACATCTGTGGCGTACCGGCGGCGTACCGGGTGGGCGGAAGCCACGAGGCCCAGCTTAGCAAAATCTGACTAACAACAACCCGGGCAAGTGCCGAGAGAACCCAACTCACCAGCCTTCATCTAGACTATCAACTATTCAAGATGAAACCATAGTTTAGCGCCGTCTTGGCTATTGCCAGGGGCACTGTTTTTTTTTTTTCCCCTCTCCCTTGTCCTTTTTTCGCTTTGGTGGCGTGGTTGGGAAACCATCCAGGTGATTTCGGCAATGTGGACGAGCAGACTCAGCAGTGCACGTGCTGCTTCAGAGCCAGAGCCTCCTTCTCCAGCGCCCCAGAGCCCCAGATTTTGCCCCGGAGCTCAGTTGATTGCGGCGGGGTGAAGGCGCTGTAACGTAGCTACCTAGCAGCTAGCAGCTAGCAGCAAAACAGCCAGCTCGAGAAGGTGAGGAGCTGAGTTGGGATCAGGAATTTGACCATGTTGGGAACTTCTCGAGATTTAATGCAAAAATACTCCAACTTATAATTGAGGGATGAAAATGTTGATCATTTTTCATCTTTTTCCATTGTCTATTCCGTGCGTAGTTGCAACGTCAATGGCGTACCATCATCCCATTTCACCAGCGAACCGCTACAGCGGTACTCCGTACTGACCCCATCAACTGGCGCCACTCCAAGTACCTAGCAAACTAGTTCCGACAGCAGAAATGGTAATGAATTTGGCTCGGAATTACCTTGGGCCCACTGTCCAGCAGCACTGGTCGCTTCAACGCTCCAGCTTCTCCCCGCTGCTCCCCGCCTTGTCCCCCACAATCTCCAGCTAGCCAGCCCCAACATTCATTATTTATGCGTTGGTCGCGTGGCTCAACTTCTACCCGTACGAGCAAATACCCCGAGCTGATGAAATGGGCTCTCCTGACGAACAATTCACCGATTCTTGGCGCAATTTTTTTTTCCTTTTTTCCTCTCTCGGGTCTGGTCTTTGCAAATGGCCAAAAACAAGCTTCCAGAATGTCGTCCCCCCCATGGTACCCCCACTGGCTGGCGCCACCAACTACGCCAATCCAGATCCTGCCAGCAAGCCACCCGCTAATAAACCGCCGCTTAATAACAGCATAGGGTAATTCATTCGGCAATGGAAAAAAAGGGGCAACATTATTCGGAGAAACAAAAAAAATGCTGCACTACCAGTGCACCACCAAAAAAACCGTTCACCCCCATCTTTTCCCATTACTCGTGCGCGCAGTGGATGAACCGGGTGTGGGGGGTTTGCCCCGGATGCTGGGAGCGCAATTCCGACTGCTCCAGTAAAAAGCACCACGCGCCGCTAAAAAAGTTGGTATGAAGAAAAAAAATAAAAAATATATACCGAACCCAATAACTCGCCATTCGGCCCTTCCCCCAAGTCGAAAACGATAGTAAAAATTAGATGGGTCATTCCCCATGGGCCGTTTTCATTAAATACCCATCTCCCCTCTTTCAATTCATCCTTCCGACCTCGTTTTTGTCTTTCCTCGCGGCTTCAGCGGTTCAGTTCATCTTCTCCCTCACCACCTAGCCCCACTCTCACGATCAGTCTTGCGCCGCCGCCGCCACCGCCCATCATGGACGACAAGATCTCGCCTGCCGGCGTTTCTGGCGCTCGCGACACCGAAAAGCAGCAAGTTGAAAACGTCGAATACTCGGGCTACGACATGACCTCTTCGCCGCCGCCGCCCGCGAATGCAAGTCTTGCTGCCGTGGCCGAGGCTCACGGCATCCAGCTTCCCACCATTGACCCCGCGCGCCGCGTTGCCGTCGAGAAGAGTCTCAAACGCAAACTCGACGCACGGTGTTCCATCTTCATCTTGATCTACATCATGAACTATCTCGACCGCAACAATCTGGCGTCGGCGAGACTCAAGGGCCTGCAGGAGGATCTCAAGCTCGATGACACCCAGTACGCGACCTGCCTGAGCATTCTCTACGTTGGCTACATCCTCATGCAGGTGCCGTCCAACATGTTCATCAACCGCATCTCCCGCCCATCTCTGTACATTGCGGGCGCCATGCTGCTCTGGGGCATCATCTCCACCCTCTCCGGCAACGCCCAGGGCTTTGGCAGCATGGTCGCCATCCGCTTCCTCCTCGGCTTCATTGAAGCCGCCTTCCTCCCCGGCGCGCTCCTCATCCTCTCCAAATGGTACACGCGCCGCGAGCTCACCAAGCGCAACGCCCTGCTCTTCTGCGGCAACCTCATCTCCAACGCCTTTTCGGCCCTCGTCGGCGCCGGCGTCCTGTCCAACATGAACGGCGTCCTCGGCCACGCCGCCTGGCGCTGGCTCTTTTGGATCGAGGGCGCCGCCACCTGCACCATTGCCATTATCTCGGCCTTTGTGCTGCCCGATCTCCCGCACAACACGCGCGGCTTCACGGAAGAGGAGCGCCAGGTGGCCCAGCTGCGCATCATCGAGGATGTCGGTGAGCTCGACTCGGATGCCAACCAGGGGCCCTTGGACGGCCTCAAGATGGCCCTCAAGGACGTCAAGATTTACGTCATGATGTTTACCTTTACCGCCTACGTCGTTGGCCTATCTTTCAATGCCTTTTTCGTACGTATTGCTCTCGGCACGAGTTATTCAGCAAGCAACTAACCATTGTACAGCCCAGCTTGACCCAGACACTCGGCTTCAGCTACGTTCCTACTCTGCTAATGAGCGCTCCTCCCTGGGTCTTTGCCTGCATTGTCTCGTACTTTGTCGCCTGGAACTCGGATCGTACGCAAGAACGAGTGAGTTTGCCCATATCCCCCTCCTCTGCCCCATGCTTTAGTAGCTGACGCCTTTCAGTTCTGGCACATTGTCACCCCTATGCTCGTCGGCGTCGTCGGCTTCGTCATCTGCATGTCCACCCTCAACGTCCCCGCCCGCTACGTCGCCCTCTTCCTGCAAACCAGCTCCTACGCCGGCTACATTGTCTTTTACTCGTGGATCGCCTCCTCTTTTCCGCGCCCTCCCGCCAAGCGCGCCGTCGCCATTGCCATCATCAACGCCTTTGCCCAGCTCGGCAACGTCGCCGGCTCCTACGTCTGGGACCTCAAGGAAAACGGCTACCGCAAGAGCTACGCCATTGTCCTGTCCATGTTTGGCATCACCATCTTTGGCTGCTGGATTGTGCGCGTCATGCTCGTCAGCCTCAACAAGCAGCTCGAGAAGAGCGAGGCATCCTCGGACGAGGCCGAGGGAGCTTCCACCGCGGCTGGCGCGACGGGCGCCGCCGGCGCTGTGCAGATTCTCAACAGCCCCGACGAGGCTCTCCAGATGCGCAAGGGCTTCCGCTATCTCGTCTAACGTGTACACGTACAAGATTTACATATGAACTAGTCAAAGAATTTAATGAAAATAATCTGCCTGCAATTGGCATGCAACTTGTTACTTGAATAAGCCGTCATCCCCCACGAGCCCAGACGTGTAGCTGTAAACCGTCCAGAATAAGAATAGAGCCATGACGCATTTACACATGAAAATCATCATCTACGGCATACAATACGATACCCAGTAGAGAAATCCAGCTTCTCAAAAGCTGATACTTGTCGTCTTGACATTGAACCCTTTCACCTCGACCGCTTCCGCCCCATCATCCCACTGCCCAACCGTCAGCTTGAGCGTCTCATTCGGCCACAGCGTCACATAGTTATCCGACCACAGCACCGGCAGCGCGTCCTCGCCCGCAGCGTCCACCAGATTCAAGCTCACAAAAAACGCCGGCACGCCCGACTTGTTCTGCAGCGTGATGACGCGCCTGCCCCTGACGCCGCCGCCCTCTGTCGTGCTCCCGGACCGACACGTCCGCGAACCAACCTTGACGTCCACGCTCGCCGTCTCCAGTTTGCGCAGCGACGTGTAGTCGACGTACTTTTTCACGGGCGTGTGGTACCACGTCGAGTTTTTCCAGTCCAGCACGTCGACGACGCCGGGGCCGAGCCAGTACACGTTGCGGCTGACAACGGCCCTGTTGTTGTTGTTGTTGGTGGTGATGTTGTTGTTGGTGATGGTGTTGTTGGTGATGGTGTTGTTGTTGGTGATGTTATTGTTGTTGTTGTCCCTGTAAAGCCGGAGCCGCAGAAACACCACCTCCTCAACACGATCCAAGCCCTCGACCGTGCCAATCTTGCGGGACGTGTTGGGCTCCGTCGCCGACGCCATTGTCTGACGGGACACAATCCTGCCCTTCATATCCACCACATCAACCTCTACCCTCCGCGCACCCCGCCGGTCCAACGACCGGTTAATCAGCCAAACGCCCCGACTCACATAGTCAAACGCGACATGCTCGACGCGCGAAGCCGTCTTGGTGCCAAAGTACGACCCCGCCGGCCGCATGTAATGGTCAAACTGGTTCCAGTGCAGGCTCGGCCACGCATTATTCAGCATCCAGTAAACGAGCCCCGTCGCCGGCCGCCGCGTCGCGCTCCTCCACAGCGCCGAGTACGCCTCGTACTGGGCCCTTGTGGCCTCGTAGTCGGTCAGCTGCGCCTTCATCAAATAATCCTCCAGCGACGTCGGGGCGCCGAACCGCGCCCACAGGCCGCGGTTATAAATACTGCGCGTGTAAAACTGCGAGCGCTTGTTCATGTGGTACAGGCCTTTATCCGGCGCCCGCCACAGATCCTCCCTGTCCGCAGCCGTCAAAAACTTGTGTAGGCTGCCCAGCTCCGGGGTCCCCACGCCGGCGCCCAGCTCCGAGCCAAACCCAAACGCGGCGCCGTAGCGACCCTTGCCATTCCCATTCCCATCGTCATCGTTTGTGTCAAACCAGTAGCTCGGCGGCACCCAGTCGTACGGCCCGTCCATCTTCATGCCCGACGGGCCCAGAAGCGCCGGGTATCCGCGCTTCGACGCCGACGCCACAATCGGCACCTGCCAGCCCGCCGCCCTCAGCCCGTCGACGTACATTTTCGTCGCGCGGTCGTCGGGCCAGTAATCGCTGCCGACCAGAAACCCCATCACGCTCGGGTGCGTCTGCAAGACACCCGCCTCGTGCACGATGCTCGCGTTGGCAATGGCGTAGTCGCGGTCGTCCCATACCGGCGGCGGGTCGACGGCCAGGTCGTGGTTGTACGCCCACGCCTCCCACTTGTCGCAGCACTCCCAGCCGACGAGCACCAGCAGGCCGAGACGGTCCGCGACGGCGTACAGCTCCGGCTGCTCCATCTTGCCCTCGAGGCGGATCGCGTTTTGGCCCATGTCGAGCACGTACCGCGCAATGAGCGCGAACCGCGCCGCGTCCCACCGCAGAAACATGTCGGCGCTGTACCCGCCGCCGAGAACCTGCAGCGGGTGCCCGTTGACGGTGAAGAGCGTGTCGTTGTGCGCGTTGAGGGCCGCCGTCACGGTGCGGATGCCAAACGTCGACGTCGCCGTGTCCGACGCCACCACCCCTCCGCCTCCGCCTCCGCCTCCGCCGCTGCCGCTGCCGCCGCCGACGAAAAAGTCCACCTTGGCCGTGTACAGCGGCTGCGCGCCCCAAGCCTTTGGCCACCATATCTTGGGATTCCTAACCACTTGCTTAAACTCGACGTACCGAGACTCGCCCGCCGCCAGCACCACGCTGCGGTTCTGCGTGCCGACCACGGCCCCGGAAGGATCCGAGACCACCGCTCTGGCCGCCATCTCGACGCTCGTCGTATTTTCCAGATTCGTCGCCCGGACACGCACCGTCACGGTGGCATCCCGCTCACCAATCGGCAGCGGCGCGTCAACGGCGATGCTCAGCGGGCCCATCATGGCGACGGGCCCCGTCTGCTTGACCGTAATGTCGCGCCAGATGCCGGTGCCATTGTCCGGCGGGTACGGGTTCCAGTCCACGAAGCCGACGGCAAAGTCGTACAGGTACTGCGTCGGATGCACGCGCACCAGCAGCGCGTTGGCCTCCTCCTCCTTGGCGGCCACCAGCTCCGTCACGTCATAAATATGCCCTGCGTAGGCGCCCGCCTGGAACGCGGCGTCGGCCACCTGCCGCCCATTGAGGTAGAGGTCCGCCTTGGACGAGATGCCGTTTGTCTCGAGCAAAAAGTGCTGCCGCCGCGGCGGCCGCCGCCGCCGGTCTGCTGCACCCGGCAGCGCAAACTCGCTGCGGTAGACCCAGGGCACGGCGAACCGAGTCCCGTTAAAGTGTTCGAGGTTGTTCGAGAACCAGAGGTCGCTGTCCTTGTACTCGCCATTCTCCAGCAGACAGCCCATGAGCGTGCAGCGCGACGCCTCGACGTGGTGCCACGAGGAAGTGTCCACGCCGCCAGCTTGCGAGAGCTTGGCGAGGTCCTTGTCAGCGAGACCCGCCGTGGACCGGAAATCCCACCTAGGAATGGCTGCTTTCTGGCCGGCGCCCGAGATGAGCGGCTCCGACGTGGCGGCGGCCCAGACGCCACTGCCGGCGAGGAGCAACACAAAAGCGGCGCTCTGTAACATGATGACTCTTTTCGCAGGTTTCAACAGAACAAGCCCGTGAGTAACGGGGAAAAAAAGGAAAAAAAGTGCTGCTGAACAAGTCCTTCCTCATGTATATATGTATAATATGCGCTATTTGCGATATATCCCAGGGTCGCATTACAACGTTACCTAGCTTGGCTTTTTAATCACAACACCAACTACTGATTGGTGGTCGGAACAACCCCCAGCGCCATCGGCACTATACGTGCCACACACCACCCTTCCTAGGCTAGGTGCTGCCGTGCCGGATACAGTGGCTTGATATAATCAATATTCATTGAGCTTTTGCCAAGCATTTATGATGCATAGCCTCAGGTAGCGACGGTGATTGGAAGCTAGCCGGAAGCCCTGCGTTTCTATCATTCTCATGCACGACCTGATTCATTGCCTAATAAATTCATGGCCAAATTTAAGCATATTAAACGCAAACCTGAATTAGATATTATGTATTCATTCATTTATTAGACAAGGCTTTAGCATTGATATATTTGATACAATTCGAGGACAGCGCTGAGTATCAATACAGTGGACCATAGAGCAAAAGCATAGAGAAATGAGGGCATTACGAGCCTGACACAAACCAAGGAACAATAAATGTAGATAAAATGTGATATCAATAGAAGAAGAAGAAGCCATCTAGAGGAGGTGGCTGACGATAAAAGCATCACGAGCCGAGTGGCCAGTAGCGGGCGTCGTGCCTCCCAACACATAATCCACAGATAATCTCAGTCCAGTTCTTCAAGACCCATTCATCTCATCTCAGTCCCGGAGACACACGACACCTAATTCAAGGAAGTGCCAAGAAAACTTTGAGAAGCTCGGGGTACTTTGGGGTCCCGAGGCCCGTCACAGGATCCCAACCTGGAGCGGTAGAAAAACCCCTACCACCGCAAGTATTGTCCTCGCCGGTTTGTCCACCGATGGTGATGTCGTTAAAGGCCCCGGGATTTCTGTATAATGTGGGATTAGCAAAGCCAATGGGCTTCTTTCCTTTGTTTATGCGCTCCTCGTTGATGCGAGTAAAGATGGCCGCCACAATGGGCGCAGACATGGACGTGCCACCGCTCCTCTGGACCTGGCCATCAAACACGACGATGCCGTGGTCACCAACTGCGGCAACGTCGGGGTAACCGCGACCGGCTCGGTTATAGACGCCGCCGCCAGAGGGAATCTTGCCCTCCGTGGTCGTGTAGAAAGGAAAGTTTGGATCATGGTTGGCAAAGAAACTGCCCTGGTCAG